TCTATCTAATCTATCTAATCTATCTAATCTATTTAATCTATCTAATCTATCTAATCTATCTAATCTATCTAATCTATCTAATCTATCTAATCTGTCTATCTATCTATCTACCTATCTTTCTATTTATCTATCTATCCATCCATCGATCTATCTGTCTGTCTGTCTGCCTGTCTAATCTGTCTGTCTGTCTATCTATCGATCGATCGATCTGTCTGTCTGTGTCTGTCTATCTATCTCTCTCTCTCTCTCTAGCTATCTATCTATCTAATCTAATCTAATCTATTCTAATCTAATCTAATCTAATCTAATCTATCTATCTATCTATCTATCTCTATGTGTATATACATGTAGTATTGGTATACATACATATATATATATATATATATTCGGCTTTCCAACAAATGGGATGATGATCCCATTGCCTTTTGCATATTTCTCATGGGGTTGAGACCGCACACCATTTAGTGTTGAGTATTTGAAAGATCAAGAAAAGTGCGACCATTGAATGGCATGTTTTTTTGTCGGAACATATTACACATTTCGTTGTTGCAAATGGCAAAGTTTGTCCTTAAAAGCAGACATGTAAAAAATTGCTGTGTGGTTTTGGTTGTCAGCTTGGTGCAGCCCATTGAATCTCTTGAGATTTGAGCTGAACCCTGGCTCTCCAGTGTGGTTGTTGGAGACAAAGTGTCAACATATTTTGATCTTTTTTCTGAACCACAGGTTTTGGTGTATATGATCGGATAGTGCAAGAATTACGTTGGGTTCTTCCTTAGTCGGAGCCGACAAAAGAATCAAAAAACACTCTTCACAAGAAACCCCAAACTTCTGTTGCGGTGCCCGTGTGTGCAGAATTTCGAATGAGGAACCAGCAACTAAAATCGAACAGTTCCTTGCGCGAAAAGAAACTATAGACACTATTTTTGCTTGGCTCGGTCCGGTTTAGAAGGCATGTCCTGGCAAGGCCAAGGTTTGGCGAAGTTGTTGGTGTTCCCGTTGCTCGCGCTCAGGGCCCACACATGGAAGCATTTACATTGATTGTTCGCTGCGACAGCGAAGATCAAAGATGCGCAGGGCCCTTTTTGTTACCGTAGAGAGCCAGCAGAAAAACCAAAGTTTCAGCAAACCTGGCAGAAACCAGAAGTGGCGAGCGCATCCCAGTCGGGGCGCCGTTCTGAGAATAAGTAAAGAAGAGAAGGGCGAAACCATCAATTATCAGTTTTGCCCACTAGAAGTCGCACATGTCCGGCGGCGGCGGCTGCAGGATGTCAGTGACGGCTTCAACACCTCCCACATTATTCACCGCCTTGAGCGTGGGCACTTAGATACCTTGGCAGCTGGTAGCCTGTCTGTGGGGGCGTGGAAGGTTCATAGCGCGGCCCAGTTCATTTGATTTCGTTTTTGTAGATCATCATCGCCACCACCGCTGCCACCACCACCACCGCCGCCGCCAGCATCATCATCATCACCATCATCATCATCATCACCATCATCATCATTATCATCACCACCATCATCATCATCATCATCACCATCATCATCATCATCACCACCATCATCATCATCATCACCATCACCGCTTTCGCCTTCATACCCTCCTTGTTGGCGCGCTTTGGTGACAACAGGTTCGGCGAGCGTGTGCCGGGCGTGGAGTCTCCCTTGGAGGCGCGCCGCGCGCAGCAGTACTCTCAATTCCCATACAGCGTCTCAAGGGCTTGACATTGGTTGACCATCTTTCCCACATTGTAGTCGTGTTTTTTAATGCATCGAAATATGGTTAATGAATCTCAAAGTGTGCCCGCTGTTCTGTTTGTGCCAGGGCACTGCAAAGATCGTGCTGAAGGGAGCCTACATGTTCCACTACTACATCAAATTGGTGCCGCATGGCATGCAGTGGCCGTGGGTACTCGTTTGGTTGCGACAGGGACTGGGGAAGTGTGCTGTGCCGGCAAAACCTGTGAGGTTAAAATGTTTGGAACACATGCGAAGGATATAGCTGGCATGTACAATGCCGAAGATATCCATTAGGCCATGGATAGCAAGGGATCTTGTGGATAGAAGTGGATATTGTCGGGGATCCATGGATATGTTCAAGTCCTTGGTGGAAGACGTTGAAAGATCGCACCAGCAGGGTGCCACCGCGCCAGGTGCCCACCCTCTTCGAACGAGATGATGGCAAGCTGGGGCCCCATCAGATAGAAAAATTGCGGTGCCCCTAAATGCCGCGTCTACGGAACTTTTGCCGCGCCAGGTCCCAGTACACCCACCAGTACTCGGCACGGAGACCTAAATGGAAACGGAGATCGGGCGAGAATCCCATCCGGCTATCAAGCACTGCCATTGTATGGTCTGAAATGCCAGTTTGTGTACAGCACTAACGCATAAATTTTGGGGGGTGCTTTAATATTAGGGGGAAGGGATTATATGACCCAGAAAAATAGAAGGGAAAATCATGCACATTTGCTTATGCAAATCTTAGAAAAAATGTGGGATTGAGAGATTGTTTCTTCGCATTGAGAATCCACCTGGTTTTGTCTGAAAATTTCGAACCCCCATTCCATCCCATGCTTGAGACGATCATTTTCTCCATTAATCAATGGTCATAAAATGGTGGCATATTGTGGACTTCAAAAGTTGGGACAGATTGATTCAGCTAGAGACCTCAGACAGCATCTGTTTTTGTCTCGCCCTACCTCCACTTGGACACCTCTGAGCTCTTTGTTGAAACCTTAGGTGACGGGCCAAGAGAAGGATGTGTTGGTGCGGTCAGTGGGACCCAGTCTGGAGGATCCGTAGGTTTTGGATGCCCAAAAACTTGGAGATAGAAACAATTTTGGGAGGACACACACCCTTTGTATCCTTGTTTTTTTCGTAAAGTTTACGAGATCAAAAGATCCGCTGTTCTTGGCCAAGAGCAGCTGGGCGTTGCGGAAAACCATTGTGTCACGGAACTGACTGGCAAAAAAATCCGCTGATATTTTCTGAGGCAAGGAGAGCTGGCAGGGCTGCCAGGAGTTTTCTTAGTCTACGAGCTGGGTGCCTGGCTGACGGTGGTTTGGCCATGGTGACTTCGCTATAGGGATTGGTGGGCATATGGTGCCCCTATATGGTCCTGTAACTCATATATGCCTAATGTCAACCCAGGATCAGTCAACCCTTTTTCTGTTTAACTGGATACCATTTTAGTAGATTTTGAGGGGCCGATGATCACGAAAAATGGGGGGAACCCACCGATTCTTTAATCAACCAGAACCACCCCCGGGAAAAAAACACATTTCTCACTGAGGTTCACCCCCTTTATGGTCCAGAAGAGCGTCAAGGTGGGACCTGGGCAACCGATCCATGACTCGAGGATTCGGCTCGACCAATGCTGCTGTTTTCTTTGGATAGCCGGATGATCACCTACTATCACCTGTAAACGGGTGATTCTCCATTGATTACTAGAAGGTATGGCTGAACAATGGCGAGATTCTTGGCGAGCACTCAGCACTTTGGCACTTCTTATCACTTCTTATGGCACCATCCCCACAATTTGTTGGAACCAAATGATCCAACAAAATCCAACCAAAGGCTTGACGGCCGTGAAATCAAACACGTGGAAGATGCGAAGTTCCCATCTTCAGAAGTCCTAGTCCTCCGGTAACCAAGCATAGCAATGGAAAATCCCCGATTCATAGATGTTTTTCCCATTCAATCCCATTAAAGCCTATGTGTATAGAGGATTTCCCATTGCTATGTTTGATTACCGGAGGGTAGTTCTCCAGTCCTCCATGATTGTTGCCGTCTCGGGCAATGCAGGAGGTGCCATTTTCGCACTTCCTCATCTCCGTCTGTGCCATTATTGGCGGTGTCTTCACGGTGCTCCCAGCCCTGTCTTGGGGAAAATCCCATGGTTTGTCATCATTTTCCCGAGAAAAAATGGTCATTTGGAGGGTGTACCCCATGTCAGACACACCCCAAAAATAAGTCTGCTCCCAAAAATGCCGAACAAATCTCTTGTACACCAGCTTTTCAGGGCCCAGGTTTTGTCATTCATTGCGCCCGAGGATACATATAAATCATATAAGCTTTCTTTGTTGTTTTGGGTCTTCCACCAGCAATGCTTTTCGGCTGGTGTGGACAGATCTCGAAGACTATCACAAGCACAAGCTAAAGCCATCCATCGAGGCCCAAAAACTGAAGAGACTGTGGCGGGCAAAGTGGCCAGGTGGCTGGGCTGTTGGATGCCTTACTCTACCGGACCACGAAGAGGTGGAAGGGCAAAGCGCACATCTGAGGCACTCAGCGGTGGGATCGGAGATGTTTTCTGATCCTCTGAATCAATGCTTATCTTTTTGGTAGGAAGACTAGGAAGCAAGCACCAACACTCCGGACATCGTTTAGGAGATTCAGACACCCAACCATCATGAAGCACAAGCTTTAATATCCATAAAGTTGAACGATTCACAGTTTGGAATTCCATGCCAAAGTCCGTTCGGTGTCTCTAAAATCACCCAGTTGCCCCCTAATTGCTTCAAGTGATCAGTAGGATTGACTGATAAAATTCACCTCGCAACATCCCATGAACAAACTAGGACAAACTCATGTTCTGTTTCTGCAGATGTGCGGAAAGTCTAGACTTTCCCGGTGAAGATTGTGAAGTGTGAAACCTGCAGTGCCCCAGCTTGACGCAGCAAAAAACGAGTAGCGCTGTTGGCTCTCGGCGCCGCGGAAAGCAAGACTTGTTCTGACTGGTACCATTGGGGTTGGTTGTGAAATGGGGGATGGCCACCTAATTTATTCTCCACAATGTTCGGACTTCTGTCAAACATTCGTTTTTCCGATCCATATCTCAGTTTGGAGCCAAGCTGCCGAAAGAAGCCAAACTTGCGAGCAGTGTTGGAAACACTACTAGCTACACTGTTCATGGTAACAAGATGTTCCAAGTACCCGGCAACTGGCAACATGCGCCCCACGCTTGCCCGCTTCCCACGGATCCTATGGCCTTTCTGGTGTCCTGCAGCGTTGATGATTCACGCGCCCAAGGGGCCGCCTGGGGCGGGGGTTTAGGGCCAGGGGTACGACTGGGTGGCGCGCCAACCGCTTCGTGAAGTGCGAAGCCAAAGCATGGCGCTCACCCTGAGGCGGGAAATTGGGATTTCGAGGATTTTTGTGGGACCCTTTTGTCAACAGCCCCAAGGGTTTTGGGTGACTAATGTTTAAGATAGGGGGTTCTCGTGCCAGAAGGTCTTTCTTTTGAGGAACTATAATTGCAATACATTGCAATAATACTATAATTTGGAAGTTTGGATAGTGCAGCCACCAACAAGCCCACCACTTTGGTGAAGTTCGGAGGACCCCAAGTTGAGTGCTCTTGGAGCACTAAAGTGGCACCTCCACTTGAGTCGTCAGCCCTTAGACCATCTTAGACCTTTGCTTCGCAATCCGAAGGTTCCAGTTTGGTAGTCCAACAATATTCAGCCATGAACAAAGCATCACTAGATAATGGTTGATCCAAGTTGAGCACAGCCCCTTGAATTGCTCGGGTTTATGATTTCCATTTCAGAACTCCAGGTTTTCCTAGATATCCTCCCGAATTTTCCAGCGCCATGTCCTGATGGGACAGGCAGAGTTTAGTGCTCTATGGACTTTTCATGGTTCTAGCGGTGGCCGGTTGGAAAACCCAGGGTGATGCTGGGTTGGTCTTGTTCATGGAGGATGAACTCACGACCATGGGATGGTTTTTGGGGATACCTGTAGCTACTTGGGTGGTCATCCAAGCACTTTCTCTCTGAATGTGACTTCTTCTGACCTTCCTTCCCGGAGCTAGAGGATGAAGAGACAATCTGCTTCATGTAAATATGCAAAGACGTGCCCCAATCCAATCGTTTTCCTCCAGCCAAAAATTGATTGAATGGAAAACTCACAGGGACCCTTCTGAGTTTTGGGGAAAACTCCAAGTTTTCTACCACAACAGTTCGAATCTTTGCCCAGAATCCCACAGATTCCGCATCGAGGTGTCACTTACTTTGTGCAAACCGCGCCACCACTACCGGAGGTGCCTCAGGAGGAGTTGGAGCCGATCATGTCATTGGTTAGACAAAGCTAGTGTTGGGGCTCCCCATATTCAAGTGGATTATTCATGGATTCATAGGAACCCAAAATAGATAGAAAAGTATAGAAAAGTATAATTTACCATTCTTTCAGGATTTTTACTTGTCTACCTTAATGATTCTCACCAGGTCTTCATCGCTAAACAGGCGCAATGTGCCAACATCGTGACACCCATGGATGTGGTTCGTGGGAAGCTCGTGGGGACTCCAATTTTGGGATGGCATCCACCAGCCAGTTCTGGTGTGGGGATGCCGATTTTTTTTTTTGGCTCGGAAAATTGGACATGGCATAGCCCCTGTTTTTTTGGTGGTGACGTATTGCAGGAAAGCCTCAACTGGCATGTTGTGCGGAAACAGCCTCTGGAGACTTTGTGGCTCGGGCAATCATTGAGCACGTGCCATGAGGTTGGCAGACAGAACTTGGCATTTGTCACATTTTTCTCGCACATGAAACATGCTATGAAGATCACACGAGATTTACAAAGCACAAAAAGGATGGAGAGCAACAGCCTCTGGTGTGTCGAAAAAACCCCATGCGCGAAATCAGCGATGAACTGAGATCATCCCCAGCGGGCTCATCCACAGGGCCTCCCATCTATCTGGGGAATCATGGTTAATAAGGGAAATGATCCCCAAATGGCCTTAATTCAGGTTAGTGAAATATGTTTAAAGTTACCCAGATCTATGTTTATATGTCCGCAATGGTCGATGTATTCTGACAACATCTGACAACTATTCCCATAAACTATTCCCATATGATGTTCCCATGTTAGAAATCCAGCGTACATGGTATATCGCCGATGAAATCACCCAGCTCCTTGTGTAGCGGCTCGCCGGGGGCTTTCAGCTCCCTGTCCTCTGCACGGGCAGCCCAGGGGTCTGATGGGTTGCTGAAGAGTGGTAGAAAAGCCCATTGATGACTGGTAGTCCTCAATTTTGTTGGTTCAAACATCTTCAAATTCTCAATTTCATATGCACTGCGGCCTCCTGTCTTCGTCTGCAATATGGTACCTGATGCCGGTATGACTTGCGACGTGAACACTATCTCCATGAAAGTGATATCCAGTGGGCAAAAATCAATTGCTCCGAAAACAGCGGTTTTGTTCCCCCCTAAATGGCCAAATTGAATAGGCCAGACTCTGGCGGCCCAAGGAAGACGCTGAGCGCATCCAGAAGCTGGAAAGAAGGATCTTGGGTGCAGCCCACTTTCAGGCGATGGTGCAGGGTCCTTGACTAATTACTGGGGATGTGGGTCATAGGCCATAAATGTCCCAAAAATATCGACAAACCATCCAGGTTCTCGTTGGTTGACGAGGACTACTCAATACTACTCACCCACAAATGGTGCACTGGCGATGTGGCTATGGCATGCTGTGGATCACAGTGATTGGCCTTGCAAGGTAGATTCGCTAGGTCGCATGGGTATCGATCAGAGGTCTGCAGATGTCTCATTTGGCAGTTTGACCATCCTGTTCGGGTGCATTTTATTTGGCCCAGACCTACCGAAAAAAAGCACGCGAAAAGGGGTGGAGTTTCAAAACATGCGAGTTCTTCACTACTAAGCATAAACATATGAGGATTGGTCAAAACCTCTACAATCATATTTTGGGGGATGAATAGCCATATACCAACTCTCTCAGCAGCATGTTCCCAGGGTATTAAGCCGCCAGGTGGAACGCGATGTCTTGGAAGAGTTCAGGCACGACGTCACTGGAATGCCGGGGGAACCATCCAAGATTATCTGGCCTCATGATCACAGCTATTGACAGGTTCGTGAAAATTCTGTGCATTCAGCCAGAAACCAATCTTCTCAGTGTTTAGGATGTGTCACCTCTGATCTAGGACTTGAAGGGATGGACTATTTGTCGCCTAAAAGTTTGGCCAAACTACGTTGGTGCAGGTATCGAGACTATGAGCAAAAGCTTCAGGCCACGGGAATGGGTTGGATCCTTTTGGATTTGTTCCACAGCTATACGGGATTTGACTTAAGGCTCTGTAGCAACTTCCAAAAAGATGCAAAATTTGGTACTGGTAAAATCCTACTCGAGAATTTAGTTGTGGATTATTGACCTCTTTTTTTTTCCCGCATCTTTGTTTGGGTCGCGATACGTTGAATCAAGTGGTGACTTTCACAGGCGGAAGAACGAACATGGCAGGCTTGGGCGGGTGATGAAGGTCTTGGTTTTTCATGGCTCATGGTTCTGATTTGGTTGCCATGGGTTCCCAATCACTTTTCTGAGTTTTTGGATGTTTTTTGGTGGCCTAGCGCATCACCTCTCCGTTGCTTTTTCGGTTCCCAAGTGGCCAATCCAGCAGCTTTTTCTGTGGAGGCCCAGTTGTCGACCATTCAGAAACTTCGCGCAGAGGCTGTGGACTGTCATCTTTGCTTGGAGGGATTCAGCCACATTCCAAGTGTTCCAAGCATTTTTGTGCATTTGGAACCCAAATATCCCTTCCTTTTCAGCTTGACCCCCTAAAAATGGAGGAGTCAACCATCCAAAATAAGGATAATTTTTGTGGTTCCAGGTAAGGAATGCTCTCCAAATTACCCTAGAGACACCACGCCAGGCAGCGCAGAGAAGAAAGGTGCAACATGAGGAGGTCCTGAAGCTTTCAGCTTTCAATGCTACAGACTGAGAAATGGGGTTGGTCTTTAAATGGTGGACCTCCAAAAAGATTATATTTTTAATGGACAATATGAAATATAGTAATAAGCCATTGAATTTTGGGCCGCTTATAAGACTAACCCAAATGTATCCAATGGGTGGATTGTAACCATCTATTTATCAGATATGACTTTTGGGTATATCTGAAAAGGTGGGATTTACTGTAGCCCCTATGTATGGCTATTACATAACGACCATTACATAACGATCCGGGATGCCATTTCCACTACAAAATGCTATGGCCTAAGGCCACTATAGAAGCATTTGTTTAGTCAATTTTTAGGGAACATTGAGACCTTGGGTCATTGCAGTTTGTAGCCCAGAGTGGTTTTATAAGGTTTTTTGCGAAAATAACCAATGTTGGAATCACATTTTGTAGCTGCCAATTTTGGCATCATTGGGGGACATTGGAAAAATTCAAATCATTTTGTAGCAGCCAATGGTTTCGTTGAAAACACATTTTGTAGAAACTCATATGGATGTAATCATGGGTTTGCACATTTGTAAAGTATCATTTTGTAGTTTCTGGATGTTTTTTGTTTGTTCAGCCCTTTTTTTGAAAATAAACCTGCGACGCCGCAGCTCTTTTTGCAAACCTTGTAAAATGGCATTCACCCCCCTTGAAGCAGCATCATTCTAGAGCAAATGTCTTGCTTTCTGGGTGACATTTGTCATGCACACTGCATTTTGTAGTAACACACACGTGCACAAACATTTTGTAGAACCTACTGCGATTTTGTAGAACCTACTGCGTCCCCCCCAGATGAGCCCAAAAAAGTTCGAACAAATCCATTTTATTTAGAGACTGTACGAAGGAAAATATGGGACAGATTTGGTTTCAAAACTTATCAATTGCAATTCAAGCTGTGCGCTTTGACCGTTTTTGTTGCCCCATAGCTCTGACGATTACATGCGGTTACTATTTCTAATACAAATGTATCCCATTCTACTACGTTCCTGCTCTTTTTGTCCAATAGTTAGTTTTAACCCAAGTTCAAAGAATCCATGCTCAGAGTTCCTTTCCGCCACAACCTAACCTGTAATTGAACTCACTGCCAGGGCGTAACCTATAATTATTATTAGCCCGCTGCCAGTACAGAATCGTATCTAACAACTGCACGGGGTCAACACTTGATCCAATCAAATTCAATCAATGACAACTACAAAATGACAGCTCCCCCAAAAAAGCGTGTGCTACAGAATGTTTTGTGTGTGATTATGTTATGTCTTGTTGGAGGAAGAAGCATCAGACTATAAAATGTTTTGTCAATGAAATGGATTGGAGATATGCGAATTATATCAAATTATGATATCAGGAGAGAAACATTTTGTAGTGATCCGTTTGGGATATGATCCATAGTTGGTAATTGCATTTTGTAGGGTCTTTATTTGCTACCCAGGACTCCATTTTGTAGGATCTGACCCTGTGACCCGCTGGATTGTAGCTACAAAGTCCCTGCACAAGGTCTCTCCCCAAATGTCAACCCGGATACATAACGGCCATTACATAATGGGGAAAGTGATGGTTATCCACAAAAATTGGGAGTATTTTTTTGAAACAACCAAACATATACTTGCTTATTGGTCCATCACTTGAACATAGATGCCTTAGTTAATATGGATCAAGAAATTCAAAGAGGAAAACCAGGTGCCTTTGTCGTTGATTCTTTTGAATTTGTGTATGTAACTATACATAGATCCATAAATCAGTTCAAGAAGTTCCCATTCCCTCAACTAACATAGACCCTAAGACTCTACTCCAAACCCGAAACTTAACCAGGTACCCTCTGGTAATCAAACATGGCTGGAAACTCTTCCATTGAGTTCGGTGGAATTTCCCAGCCCACATGTGATGACACCACGTGGGATAGTTCCAATAATGACGATGAACCAAGTAACCCAGCAAAACCATGAGTCAATCAGTCACCAATAATCCACCATTAGTCAGCATCATTGACAATGAATCCACCAAGTAACGTAAACCTTCCCCGCTTTCGCGAGCCACCGTGGTTTGGAGCACCGGTAGGTGGAGGACCGACGGAAGCAGATGCAGGGGCACTTGGCCCATGCCAGGGAAGCTAAGGTCCGCACCTGTGCAGCCAGGGTGGATACGACACCGGGATCCACTGTGCGATATCGTGGGAAGCCATTAAATCACAAAACCCCATGAATCCCTCATGAAATATCCCATAAACAATATATCAATCCCCATTTCATCCTCATCTTGCTTATGGGGACATAAAATTCCCCTTTAAATCAACATTGGAGATATATGTTTTATATATCATCAAACAATATATTTCATCAACAATTTATTTCATCCTCAACAATATGTTGAATATATGGCCATAGAAATCGTGGATTTACCCAGCTATAAACTGGTGATTTTTCATAGTTACGTTAGTTTACCAGAGGGAAAAATCCAATCATCTTGTTGGATATATTCATCCCATGGGATACTTCATGAGGATATTTCATGGGATTATAAATGGGTGAACTAATCCCAGTTACGAACCACTTATGATCCCTGGGATGATCCTCCAATGTTGAATATATCCAATGAACCACCATTTCATCCTCATCTTAAAATCACCATATTGAAATGGGGTGAAACTATGTATCCCATAAACTATGTATCCTCATTGAATGTTGAATATATTTACTGGAATATATCCCCTTTAGAATCAACATTCAACCACCATCCCATGGCTCCGCAGGTGAGCGACCAAGACGCTTCGTCCGCTCGCCGAGCCCGCGAGCTGAAGGAGGCGCAGCAGAAGCGCTTGGAGGACGGCAACGATGGCAACGGCGCGTTTCATGGAAATTTGACCAAAAATGCAGAATTAGTGGTATCTCATGGGGAGTTCGGGGGGATAGTGGGATGTTTTATGGGAACTAACCAACTATAACATGAAATATGGAGATATGATGGGATATATGTAATGGCAACAAACATGAAGATATTCTCTGATAGTTTAACAGTTTGCTGTGTTAAAACGTATCATCGAACTAAAGATGCCATTTTCCATAGCAGTGTTAGATTACCATTAAAAAACATCTTACCAGCAAACACTGAGGGTTGTTGGTTATTTCTTTTTGTCATTTTTTTTTGACATTTTTTTGTCATTTGGTTTTTGCTTTTTTTTGTCATTCCTGTTTTTTTTGTCATTTTTTTTGTCATTTGTTAAGTCATTCTTTTGTCATTTGTTAAGTCATTTTTGTTGTCATTTTCTTGTCATTTTTTTGTCGTTTTCTTGTCGTTTTCTACTTTCTAGCATTGTTCATTTTCTTGTCGTTTTCTCATAAGGATCAGGCAAGCGGTGAAGGTGGCAAACCCGGTCTAGGAAATGCAAAAAAACTGCAACAAATGACTCCCGGTTTGGGAAATGCAAAAATAATGCTAAAAAAATGACTCCCAGTCTGGGAAATGCAAAAAACATGCCAAAAAAATGACTCCTAGTCTGGGAAATGCAAAAAAAAAAAAGCAAAAAAAATGCAAATCAACAGCAAAAAAAATGCCAAAAAAATGCAAAGAACATGCAAACAAAAATGCAAAAAAAAAAGACTCGCGTGCTGGTAAAGTTGCGTTTTTGGAGTTTCCAGGTCGGCCTCGCTTCTCGGGCCTGAGCCGCCCCCCCCGGGCCATTTCACCCCGGCCCCGGGTTTTTGAGCCGGCCCTGCACCCCGAGCTGGGAGACAACTCCTCGTCCAGGCAGGCCCAAAAACGAATTCCCCAGGGCAAGCTCCCCTGCCCTATCCTTCTTCACCGCCGGCTGGCTTTCCAAGAGTTTCTGCACTTGTTCCTTGTATTTGGTGCTGCCACGAGGTAACAAAAGGTCTGTCATGGTAGTCATTTTTTAACTTTTTTTTTTCCATTTTCCCGTTCCCAAAATAACAATAAAATGACAATAAAATGACAAACAAATGACAAAAAAATGACAAAGAAATGACTAAAAATGACAAACAATGACAACACAAATCCAAAATGACAAACCCAAATGCAAAAAAAATGCAAAAAAATACAAAATAATTATTTTGGAATTTCCAATGTTTGCAGGCCCAAGATTTTCCTAAGATTACCAGAGGGTAAGGGTAAACCAACAAAATTATGAATATATATATATATATTTATAGCTATAATGAGAGAACGTTGGGTATAATGGGATATGTTAGAAACATCCACCAGGAACCACTTGTATCCGTAAACATCAACAGTTTTAGCAAGAAATATACAGAGGATAGACCTTCCACATGACCTCTTGGGAATGTTCACAGCTACGCACATGTTGAAGGAGCGGCGTAACGAACAGCTGGAGAGGTCCAAAGAAATGGCTGGAAGGCACATCATCCCGAAATTGGCTGTTAAAAAATGGGGGAACAGTGGTGTTAGGCATAATTTTCCTATATAATTTTTTTGGGATGAGCATCCCAAGTTCAGAGAGCCAGCTCGAAGGCTCACTCAAAATCTACAGTGCGCTTCGGCTTGTCTAGGTTGTTTTCCTTCACACTTGGCCAGACCTGGTGAGGCTGAAATCCATGGAGGATCAAAAACAGGTTCTCCAGGAACAGAAGCTACGCTCAGAGAAGGCCAGGAACCAACATGACTTGATTGTGCGGGATCTGTAGGTGGTGAATGATCCATTTATGGATCCCTACAGTTAAAACCCGAAATACCAGCGATTTTTATGGTCATGGGGTCATTATTCAATAAATATCAATTTTATAGGATTGTGCTTGACTTATAACTGGTAAAGGGCCCTATAACTGCTTTAACTGTATGGTGACTAACATGGCTGGAACATCCCAACTTGGTTGGAAGATCATGGGATGATCATTGAACTTAACGGGTTGTTTTCCGGCCAGTCAGGCGAACTTACTGGAGGGTAAGCCATACAGAAATGGAGATATTCTATAATTTTCTATATATAACTTGTTTATGAGATGGTCATTAGCCATTTCCTAACTTGGATGCACTTCCAAGGGCATCGGGAGCTGGTGATGTCTGACATGTTGAGGTGATGTCTGACATCCCCAAGTGGGACATTTACCAAGGCCTATTGGTATCTACTATAGTTAGTATACCCTGTATGTCAGGCTTGCAGTCAGGGACACTGATATGATGCTTGCGACTACCAACAAAAAACGTCATCAACTGGTGCAGGATTTCTTCCATCAGTAGTTGAAAGACCTCTCTGTCTCATATTTCCACAATGCCGAGACATTTGTCGCAAGTTGTCCGAAATCTGTCTTCAACTACCCAGCCATTGGCGGCATTCGTTGCCAGGAGAAACATGCCCGGTTGCAGGAAAAGGAGCACCAGAAGGCGTGTGCCTGCAAAAGCAGCAGCAATGCGATTTCACTTATATCTTACAAACTACAACCTCCAAGAAGGTTTCAAAGTACGACCTCCATTTGAAATTTCTCTTAAAAGGTAAAGTGTATAAGTGAACATAAGTAAACCATTTCCCACTTATACAACTTATACTGCATATTCATGTATAGTTTACTTAAGGCAACAAGAATCCTTGAGGCCTAAACATTACCTCAGATCTCAGCGAAACTCCAGGCCGAAGCGCGATTGCAGGTGCTGCAGATTTGGCAACGTTCCGAAGAGCTCAGGTTCGGACCCTGATGGGTGGGTCGAGTTGGAGGCTGAAGAACCCAAGGGTTTCAATCGATTCTTTCTCTTTAAAGGGTGCGACACATCCATTGACTTTTTGGGTTTCAATTTTTTGTAATGACATCCTGATTCAAGGCTGTCACCATTCCAGTGGCCTTCGGATAAACCGATAAACCGCTGGGAATGGCTAAATCGTTGGTCAACATCCCATTTTTTTTTGGTTATTTCATGTTCGACGACAGTTGCATCCCACACTTTATGTTGACCGACACCTCGAGTTTGTTGGTTCGATCCAGCGGCACGGCGCCAGGAAATATGCCAACCAGATGCTGGCCGCTGGTCAGTGATGGCCTCAATTTGCGGTGCCGCGAACCCCCAACAAGACTGGAGAAGGTTGAAAGTGAAGCCCTTTTTTTTCATCAGGCATGACTGCTCAAGTCATTTTTTCTTTTGGACCTCTTCATACGTCATCAAGAGAGCAATGACTGCTCGAAACGGCTTTCTTTGGGACTTCTTCAGACCTCATCAGGCAATGGTTTAGAAAATCATCAACATATCAGATGGTTTGTTTCTTCCAAACACTCCCAATTTTCATGGATTGGTGCCCGATCTGGCTTTGTCCAAAAATCAGGTACCCTAAACTTTAACGCTCTGAAACCTCCTTTTCACTCGGAAAAACACATATAGAACCTTGAAACCATGGCCTTTTTGTATGAAGCCTTCCCCATGAATAGACGGACCTTGGTTCGCCACCTCCGCTGCCAGTCATGATGAGCTCTTCCAAGAGCTACAAGAGATGAGGCCCCGCGGGACTGGTAGACGATTGGTTGAAGGGAATCATTAGAAGAAACCTCCATAGTTGATTGGAAAAAGCATGGTTTCCTGCAGATTCTCAGTCCATTTCAAACACCTTGCTGGATCCAGGCTTGAGTTGAACTCGCCCTCGTCGGGGCCCCACGTGACCCACGTGGTCTCCATCCTTTTGCACCAGTGACCTGGTGGGTAAAAACCCATGGATGATGATTCCTACATTCTAAGTGGGCAATGACGATACCAACCATACCAAACATTAGAAACCAGATATAGACATAGCCCACCCAAAGAGAAAACTAAAAGTTGACATCCTGGAAATTATTGAGAACACATCATCTTTTGCAGATCCTGGACACACTTTTCCACTCTTTTCTATCTATTTGGGATTTTCTTATACCCTCTGGTTATTTAACATAGCCATGGAAAATGACCCATTTATAGATGGTTTACCTATCAATGGCATGGTGATTTTCTATGGCCCACTGTTAAATAACCAGATGGTAATTACAGTGCATCCCCAAGTCCCCAAATCCTCCAAGGCCCTTCTCCTTCGCTGGCAGCCCGAACAGTTCTTCGTCGGCGAGTCCCTCCACGGGAAGCCGAAGTGGTGCCTTGGAAGATTGCTGGAGGCAAGAGTTGGGAACTGGGAAAATTGATAGAAATGATATATATATATGTATATATATATGGATGTATATATATATACGTATATATATATATAGATATATACAAAGTACAGATTTAAATCTTGGGGTTGGGTTTTTTCCTATGGAGACATGGGAGTCTTCCACCAGCCAAGTAATGGGGATTTAACCAACAAGACAACCCGGCATTCTTCAGCAAGAAAATGGCATTCAAAACGAGCACACGATTGATGTGGGCAGAATGCAACAACCTAAAAACCCACCTCACTACAGTCGTGTTTCTCATTGAGTCACACTTTTTTCGTTGTGGAGACAACTCCGTTCGGACCGAGGCTTTGCGCCCCCAAGCAGGACCAACCGGCGCAAGGAGAAAGCCAACTCACCGAAGCCAGGCGCGGTGGTGAACCTTGGGCGATGAAGGGTGGCAATGTTGAGCCCCTCAAAAAACGGATCCCAAGGTATTGATGACTTTGGGGATTATCACTATTCAATATACTTATATATACTGATATGTATATGTATCCTATATGATCTTATATGATTATCACTATGATATCCTATGTGATACAGATACTATTCAAATCTAAGCAATCACTTGGGGAATATCGCAATCCTGGGAGAATCCCGTTCTCGTTCGCTAAGAAGCCTGGAGCATGGGAGGTCCTGAGAAGCCGTCGAGCCCTGTAGAGGAAGGCTCGAAGAGATCAGCATCCAGGGCTAATGATGAAGACGAAGATGGACAGATTTTGAAATCTCAGGGTTGGCCTGAAACAACAGATCACTCCAATTCAAAACACATTCCCCAAACATGTCTAAAGACATGTTTTTTTCTAAACAAGAACTTCAATGTATCTTGTGACGACACATTCATATATGTACCTGGAAGTCGACACATTCATATATGTACCTGGAAGTACTTTGGATTTGTGTCCTGTTTACAAGTGCGCAAGAGGGCAGTTCATGCAATTGGCAACTGTTGGACTATTTTTTTGGGATGCACATTATCACGGTTGGGTACACTTCCTACAGTATAGTGTTAATGGGTTGTCCCCCAAAATTAGATCTCGCAAATCCTATGGATGATCATTCTCGCCGTTTCTTGATGGCCTATAAAAGGGGACATCTCTGGTTTTTGAACAAATCTATGCCACATTCTTGTTAGTTATATCATATATCCCACTATATCCCGTTCTATCCATCGTATGGTTGGTTTCATTATTCGTTTCATTATTCGAATTTTGGTGGGTCACATCCATTTCTGATACGTCCAGCCAACATACCTTCCGAGTCATTGCTTTGATCCATATTTTTTTGATGATGTCCTACCCTTTTTGGACAGCACCATAAAGTGGTTTCCCCCTTCCGCATCAACATATTCCAACCGCGGCCAGTTTTGGCTGCTGATGCCGAACCGATGGCAGATGGTGGGGCTCTGAGAAGTCATCAGTCTGGCTGATCGGATTTACTGAAGCAACCCCCAAAGTAGAGAACGAAAAGTTAAAAGCCAAGAAAGTATCAGAAATGGAATTATCTCACAGTCTGGCAATTTTCAGGGGGCAAGAAATGAGAAGCAACCAGATTTAGGGATACCCAAGTTTGAGACATGCCCCATTGGGTCCTACCAAAGTTTCCAAGTCTTCTCTGCTGAACCTTTTGGCGGATCACACTTTCGGGGTTGTCTCCAGAAGTTGGGGATCCCTCACAGCATTTCATGAGGAAATCATCCGATTTTGAGGCAAGGAGACAACATTTCTGCCAGGGCTTGGGGTTATGATCCGAGTGATCACAGGGAACATATGTAACATGGATGAGAAGAGTAACCAGTCTCTACTTACTTAAATGGGTGTGTCTGAAGATGGAGCCCCTACCCCCAAAATGGCAAAATGATGATATCCATTGGAATTCGGGTACCCTGTTTTTGAACACATCCAAACGGTTGTATTTCTTGCTGGTCTGCTGGTTTCTGTCTCCCAAGTTGTTGCTTGGCCATCTTCCCGGTCTTGCATGCTTCTCGGTTGAGGCACCTATGAGACCTTGATGAACCTCTTTGAAGCCAAGGTACGGTCTTGCAGATGGGGCAAGACGTTGAGACCTTTAAGTGGCTTCAATTGATCAAGTTTGGAGGGTTCAAAGGGCTGAGTGTTTTGGTTTTCTCGTGGATTTTTGATGCCTCGACTGGATGACCTTGGGAGAGCACTTGTGGAAAATGTCCTGCTGGGGTTTCACCAGTTCGTTTCAAACAAACACTCGGATCAAGTTTTTGTGGGCGATTCATTCCAGGAAACTGATCTATATTTCTAATGAATCCTCCCCAGACCCAGGTCTGTGGACAAGCTGAGGGTGGCCAACGATTTCAATGGGCCAAATGTGGGTGATTCAAGTTGTCACTTGGGACATTGGAAATGACCAGACATGGAAATCTCCCGGACATCCAATGGTTTGTCTCATCATTTCCCCATTGAAAGTTGCCGTAAGTTGAGCACATCCCCATTGAAATGGGCAAAGCCATAGAGGCTTATGGTTTCCCAAACCATTGCTGAGCTTTTAACTGGTTATAGCCTTCATCACTTCTGAAGCATGGATCATTCTTCAAGGGTTTCTGTTCATGTTCTTGTCCACTTGGAGGGTTTCTATTTCCAGTTCCCTAAAGACTCAACTTCCGAGTTGGCGTTAGATCACACGCTGCGCGAATGTGCCGTGGTCGCCACTACGTAGTGAGAAGATTTTTACAGATGCCTTGCGGCGTCCACGTTTTTGCGTTTGTGGATGGTGTTTTTGGAGGAGGGCATTCTTGGACCATTAGAAGCAAAATTCAATTATTGATATTATTGGATGTATTCTCAACTTGAATTGAGAGACTTTGCATAGGGGATTTGGACCTATGATCCATCCAGATGTATCACAACTGCTGCAACTGAGTGCCCTGTCCCATCTTCATCGAACGCCAACGCCGTAGCTGGTCTGCAGAACACATCCTCGCAACGTTTTGTGCGGATGCTTCGCTCCCACACGTGGAGCTGTTAACGTATGGCCGGCATCCTTCAGGAGAGCCAGTTGAATCAGGGTACTGATGCACGTTTGAGTGAGTTTATCTAGCTGACGGACGGTTCATGGTTCTTAAATCGAGCAAATGGCTTCTCTCCCGGATTTGGCCAGCACCAGATACGCTGAAAAGAATGGTTGGGGATTTTCAGGGAGCTGTTCCGGAAGAACAAGGGGGTCTGGCGGGGTGTGGTCAAACTTGGGGCGGGTTCAACACCCGACAAATCCAAGTCCCGTCAAACACGCTCTTATTTTTCTGACGGGTCTGTTTGAACACGCTGGAGAATGGTTTCCCCTATTTAAAACAATGCATATAATTTGGGGGTAGCCGGGTAGCCTAAATTTTAGGACAAACCCAGTATCACGATACAGCATCATAGCAACTTATTTTCCATTATATAAAGCACCACACTAAAACACCATCCAACACCCTCAACTTCACAGCATTTTTTTCACGCTTTCACGCGAGAAGGGAAGAGTTCACGTTGGAGCCATATGGAGCCGAGGTCAAAGAGCCTCAGACCTCCATCTTGAATCTCTGGAACTGTAGCTCTGGCGTGTTGTGGATCAAGTGTTTTTTTTTTGGTGGATGGGAAAAATAGGGAAAAGATGCAGGAGAAGCCCATATTTCCTGAGAAACATCCTGAGAAAAACCCATGGTTTCCTGCAAAGTTTCCGATCCCGTTGGTGGTGACCTGGTGAGTGGGGTTGTAGGCCACTTACACATGAGATACCCTCTGGTTATGACTAACAGTGGGCCATGGAAAGATCCACCATGCTATTAATAGGTAAACCAACTATTTCGATTAGGGCCATCGAAAAACCATGGCGAACTGTTAAATAACCAGATGGTAATTTACTGAATGGGGACTTCGCAACCAGGGTTCTTAAGCACTTAGCGGTCACATACGAACCTTCAGATTTTTGGGCATCAGATTCGCCAGTGACCTGAGGGGCTACTTTTGGAGGTGTTGCTGAAAGCTTTTTTTGGCTGAAAGTGATGCACCAGTCAACTGACAAAGATATGGAATTATGGAAACCTCACCATTTGTAGATGATTTCCTAAAGGGAAACTTTGGACATTCCATATTTTCCATATCTATGTTAGTTTAGAACAGAGTATGATAACTAGAGTCTCTGCTCCGGGCCAGGTCTTAGAGAGTACAAGAAGGACAACTGGCCGCTGCATCCCAGGAATCGCCCTGGTGACGACAACCCCTTCATCTAGCTGGGCATTTCGTTGGGGAACGGTATAAGCCACCTATAAGTGGGTTATAATATGGTGATTACCAACTTGGGATGCATCTGCAAGTAACTGTAGTAACTTTTCACGTTTTTTTTTTGGAAGCCCAATGCCAACCTAAGTCAAAGGGAATAAGTCGTTGGGGCTCATGACATTAGGTTAAATCAACATGAGATTTTCATCCAAACTTGGAGCTGAGATGATAAAAAAACCTGATGAAACATCCAGCTGTAGGGATTTTGGACTGAGGTGGCACACGACCGCCGGCATTTGGGGCATTTATGTGTCCCGGTGAAACCGGAGAGGGGATGGGATGGTGATTTAACCAGATTCTAGATTCGTTTAGTGCCATTTTATACTGATATAGTGACACCCAAAAAGATAGACACCGGACGAGTCACTATTTGAGAATTTGATTTTACTTTTCTATGTTTTTACACTTTTTCAAAACTTCTTTTTGACTTTTTGGAGATTGCTTTAAGCTGATGCAAGAAAGGGATCCGACCCCAGCAGCATTGATTGACGGTGGTAGACAATCGAAATGTGGCATTCACCGCTTGGAAGAGAGCGGATTTTCCTCCAGCAAACCATTGGACAGGGGATTGGGATGGATTGGGTTATACCCAATCCATCTAAGATTGCTTAAATGCGGTTTCCCCCTTGTTGATAGATTACTAAAGGAGACCAGTTATGGCAATCACGATTAAAATAATGTTGACAAGGAATTCAAAATTATGGTAGGCTAGAAACGAAAACCAAAACCTATTCTAGATGGTTATATTATCGTTTACTTAATCGGCCTAGTAAAACCAAAATACACAGACACAAAACAGTTTCTTGGGGACGTGAGTACGTTGTGGCTTGTGAGTACGTTGGCTATATAGTAAAATACCATATTCATCCCATACATTCGCCATGTCGCATCTTCGCTGTTGACGCTCCAGGTGATCTTCAAGATCTTCGGGCCGTTTGGTGCAGGAACTTCCATGGTACTGTCCGTGCTCATCGGCGCGTTGTACGATGAGTGGGCGGAGCCCATGACGTGACCCGGCAGCCAAGGATGGGGTGTTAGCCAGTTGCGATTCCTGGGATTATCCTGAACGTCGGTACAAGGGGGATTGTGGTTGGAACCTCAACATGCCAAGATGGTTGGACAACCAAACATGTAGTTGGAAATTTGAGGATGCTTTATTGAAGAATATGGCCACGTACGGCCGCTGCTGAGCTACACATCAAGTCTTTCAAGTCTCAGGTTGGAATGATGAATCTCCCTGTATTGCAGATACGGTTGATCTGCAACTACAACCACTGTATAGCTACGACAAAATATCGCGGCTAGAAGCCGCACTGGTTCTCTTTTGCATTCGACAGAACGACCGTTTTTTCACTTTGGGTGCTCAGAGGTGGTTTCCAACTTGGGATCTTTTTGGTGCACAAATTGAACTGTTTTGGGGATGGTCTTCCATAACTTTTTGGCAAGTTGGGACGGCCAGAGGATTTTCCACCGCGATTCTTGGCTCAGGCGATACTCCTTCCTAGCACACTTCTTGGGTGTGAGTGGCGAGGCCTGTCGACAAACCTCAGCAGGTCACCACCAAGTCCTGTTTTATTCCTGAAAGAATTGGCGTTTCCACAGTGTGGAGCGGTTTGTGTGACATCCATATCTGATTCATTCTGATTGTAAGATCCATGGTTTCCCGTAGATTTGGAATTCTCCAATTCAATTGGATCAAGGGACAATCTGATAGAATTTGCAGGAAGCCGTATATTTAAGCTTCAAAATCCATGGTTTTCATCTTTCATCCATGGTTTTCATCCAGATTTTTCAAACAATCCGACAATCCGATGGTTCAATGGCTGGAACAGGTCTGTGGTGGAGCTGGTGGTTGGATCATGTCCTATTGCATCGGACGTGAGATCTTGCTGCACGTACGGACCTCAGGGTGACGATGACATTTCGGCACAGAACTTTTAACAAGAGAACAACATGCTCAATTTTTTGGAATTCGCTGAACTAGAATTTTGGCACGCCTGCTGAACAATACCTAGCTCTTTTGAAAAAGTAGGTGTGATTTGTCCTTTCTTCAAGAGATAGACATGCTATTCGCTACTGTGTTGATGATGCAATTGTGCTTGTTTCGGTCCATTAACTCTTGGGTTCTAGAAGGTTTTGTGTCATAGCGGTCATGATTTCAGCTGCCATGCTCAGCATGGCATACAGTAGCTGTTAGCATGAAATCGTCCAAAAGGATCTAAAACCAGTCAGGATCGAGAAGTACATTCCCACTAAAATTAAGTGATACATGACTTTTCTAAATCTTTGTGTGGCTTTCTGCCGACCCTCGGTGAATTTTCCATTCATCATGAGCCCATGGGTCAGCATGGTTTCCCATCAGCTTCATTTTCGGGATGGCCACGGACCTCCGCCCAGTTCGCAGCTGAAAAGATGGCGACGCTCAAAAAGGCGCGCTTGGGGGATACGCTCCATGGGTTTCCATGGGAGTACCCCAAAAGCTGGTTGATTTGCTGGAATCTCTTACAATGGAACTGGGGGTACCCCCATGACTTCGGAAAACCTCCAAGTAAAGCAAGATGGTAACTGAAGAGGAACCTTGCTGAAGTAAAAAAAAACCGTTTGACAAACAAGACAGCATCAAGACCAAGGAACATCCGGGGGGTTTCTTAAGTCCTGGGGAATCCCAAGCCGCCACCATGGTTGTTTCCATGCTAAGTCATGGTCTAAATTCGGAGGATTTGGGGGTACCGGGTAGCCCAACAACTTAGGAAACCCATTGAAGTAGATGATTTTCCCGGAAGCCCCCATTGAGTTCGGGAATTTTCCCCATTATAACCCGCCCTCATTTTTCCAATGGGATTCCCTGGCCACAGGAGATGGACAAGTTCCAAGGCTCCATGTGACTTGGATGTGGGGATCTTCCCTGAAATTTAGGCCTGAAATATAGGCCTTATATATGGTACTAGTACCTCCAATTTAGGATCCTGGAATGGCCATTGAATACTACAACCCGCTTTTTTCTATGGGATGGTTCATAGTAAATCGATGATACTAGATGTAAATAGATGTAAATAGATGTAAATAGATGTAATAGATGTAAATAGATGTAAATAGATGTAAATAGATGTAAATAGATGTAAATAGATGTACATACTGAACCCAAATTGGCGACGCGATACTTCGGCTTCATTTTGTGAAGTTCCCTGCTTCGTTTTGGCAACGTCGGGCGTCTCTGAGGTTCCGGTATATGCTCTTCCTGCGGGTGTCGCCCCTCTTTCCGAACTGGCCTGGCGCCCAGAGAAGCTGGGGATGGTCGGGGCCATGTTGTTCAACTGGTTCCCTACAGGGTCCAGTTAGGAGTGATTTTCTGTGGGTTTGTGTGAAAGTCGGGGTACTCCAAAATCTCCTGGAGAGTAAATGAATTCAGGATTTTGTTAGTTTCTTTGTTTTTATTCTTTTCCGGCCTGGGGTCTGGGGCTGCTTTTTGCGGCGCTTGGCTTCTTGGCATCCTGGCTTCCTGGATGCGGTAGTACCCACTCCAGCAAAAGGAAGCACTTCACCATAGCAGCAATAGTGACTGGAAGCAACAGCAGCAGAAACAAGAACAAGACCAAGAACTCGCTTAGAGGCTCAGATTCACAACAGGGCTAACAAGCTGCAGTCATGCAGCCTCCACCCACTGGATTTTCATGAAGTGATGTGTAGGAAGAAAGGACAGGATACCTGAATCTGCCTGGGACTGAAGGTTTGTGAACTACAGCACTGCGATGATTGGAATGCCGTTTTGGTATTTCCTGGTGGTCTGGTGCCCAGGGGAAGTGGATGACAATTTCGCCAAGCACTACCCCAAAATCTCATGGTTGATCATTATCCCCATGAAATTGGGTAAAACTTCCCCTATTCTTGGACACAGCCAATATGAAAAACATATGGCAGACATGAGGTAACCCCTGCTATCTTCCTCGGTTTCATCCCCGCATCCACATGCATATTTCTTGGAGAATTTCTGGTTGATATGTCCGTATTTTCTGGCAAACTCCTCAATTCCAGATATTTGTGTGTACATATATGCAGTAGCTGCAGTAACCTAGAAAAGTAGTTTAAGTTTACTACTATTTTCGCAGGATTTTCCTTTTCTATCTTTTATAATATAACAGGTACTATATCCATTTGCATCCCATGATCTACCCAAAAAATATCCTCATTGACAGTTGGCAGGCCTCCACATTGGCGATCCAGCCGGCGGCTTGCATGTCTATAGCCATGGGCAGTGGGGACGCCTGATGCCACAAGGGCGGTCTCCATTAAGGCCAACCTTCATGTTTTTTATCATGTTCCTTCCAAAAACTATGGCTTTTCCATGGCGGTTTTCAAAATTTCCCCATTTTTTCCATGTCCCATGGCGCCCTGGATGATGCGCCAAGGCATGCTGCGAGACGTGGGGGAGAGCGGCCTGGACCTGGTGAAGATGACCAAGCGCGGGGGCATGTGCCTTGGGGAACCTGATTGGGGAAATCCTGGGAAATCCATGAGGCATAACTCCATCAAAATATGGAAGTTATGGAGATTGTTGGTTGGAGGGACTTAACCATCGGAAATCCATGAGTTATACATTTGAAGTCCCATGATTGAGCCTGGTATATAGCCAATAACCATTATTATAAACTATCAACATGATGGGAGAGAGACTTACGTATAATTCCATATAATCATGAAACTTGTTGATTGGTCATTGGCTATATACGAGGGACTTCACCATCTGTTTTTTTTTTAATTTTTTTATGGGGTGAAGGTGAAACTATGGCACTTATGGGGAATACCATGGTTTCTGAGGGGGTGTTTATATTAGGGAGATGGGACTACCTGGTTATTGGAAACCATTTAATCCCATATTGGGGAAATCTAGCAACCAACTAGTATAATGAGGCTTCTATGGCTGGCCGGACATTCCATTTTTTTGTGGACCGCGACCGAATTGAATCTTAATTGGGAGCTGCAGGCAACATGAAGTGTTACTTTGGGACTGACAGCATTTTGTAGTGAGAGGCAGAAAGTGTAGCCTAGCAGGTTTGTGTGTAAGACTCATATTTGTGCTAGTAACCACCCCCATATTTTGAGTGGTAGACTAGTCAAATCACATCCCACTGCTTTCGCAAGGCAAACACATATTTTTTGTTGCTTGAAACCCGGATTCTTGGCTTCCCGAATTCGAGAATAGGAACATCTACAAGAAACACCTCTAGTTAAGGGGTAAAAACAACTGTATCCTTAAGATAGATGGATAGCTTTCGGGGATACCCCATCTAGCAATGGATTGGCTTAGATTTTTTCTTAAACCAATCCATCGATTGGTGAACATCAATGTGCGGATGATATGATGTGGATGTACTGCATATATATAATATATGTATTATATATATATTATATATATACATATGTATATATATATATATATATATTATATACATATATATATATTATATACATATGCATATATATATATATTATATACATATATATTATATATATATATATATATTATATACATATATATATATTATACATATATATATAATACACATATACACAGGATGAATGAGTGGATCATCCCGATGACAATCCATACATGATACATTGAAGTGGCATCGCTCCCTTGAGGATGGCTGCCACCATGGCATTGCTTTCCCTGCCGTTGATTCCCGCCCGGCGTCCCGTTGTGCGGGCCACCGTGGACGATGCAATGATGGCCCCACTAGGGGCATCCCATTTTACATCGAAAATTTCAGGGTTAACTAGTTAACTAGGGTTAAAACTAGGATCAACTGTGCTTAATTAGATACTAACATCCATCAACTAGGTTTAAGTAGGCTTATAACCTAGTACCCACTCATCGTTGTTTGTTTTCGGGGGCCGATCCTAAGATGTTGACCCACTGGTTCCCCACAGATTAAGCCATACCCAACTGGAGCGAGTTTTCGGGATGTTGGGGAGATCCAAGGACTTAAAACCCATCCATTTTTTTCATCCCATGGTGTAGGCCCATTAGTTGGATCCCATGGATGTTGGAAGTTTGGAACAGCTGAGGCAGATGATTGGTCCAAGGGCCTGGAGAGAGTCAAGGCCTTCTGGAAGCGCATGCAGAAGGCAGACACCGATGCCGGCGTGGTGAGGTGATGATACCTACCTGGTCACTTCATTATTGTTCTCAGTAACATTATCATTCTTATTGATATATGATTATCAATATTGTTCCTATCAATATTGGCAATATATAGATATACATACACACATACTAAATTTGTTGTCAACTTCTAATTAAGTTTGCTACCTGGGCTGTGCGGCAATTTTCTGAGGACTCAGTCCACCAACAGACCATTGCCACGTGAGTTTGCTCAGAAATACCACCAAATTTGATGTTTAGTCAGCAGTCAATTGTTCATCATATTTTTGATCACTCAACTTTGCCATATTTCGATATATTTCGAGGATGTTGCCATAAATTTTGGGTGGTACATTACGGTATCCTGTAAACTACCAGTTTGATGTGGCTTTTACCCTCCATTTGTAGATCATTTTCCCATTCCCCATGGGTTTTCCACCTCTTTTCCCGAGGCTCCGGCCGCGGCTCCGGCTGCGCCGGTCACCACCGCCTCCGCGCCGCCGCGCGGGCGCGCGGAGGGTCCTCCCGTGGCGAAGCGAAGGGACGCCTCGCCGGGGGCGAAGAGTGCGGCGAAGGGACCGAAGGAGACCGAGAAACAGGGAGAAACTGGGTGAAATCACTCCTTGTTGGGGTTTAATCAGCTTCATCAACTGATCAACCATGCACTTTTTTGGTGTTTTTTTTTTTTCAGTTTTTTGTTTTTTTGTGGGTTGATTAAGAAACTAATAATCTAATCGTGGTTCTTGATGGTTACTTGTATGATTTGATATGAGTTGATTAAGGGCGTAGTAGCCAAGGGGTGATTGAGTAACCCATACTCCATAGACCAATTTTTACCAGTTGGGCGTTAGTAAAAACCATTCCCCACAAGGGAGTTTATCATGGCATGGTGGGTTTTCTACATCTATAGTCTATAATAGTATACAGGAGGGTATCATGGATTCTTGTGAATGAACAGTTCCTTTTGTTATCGTGGTTTCTATGTTTTCATTGACAATATACAGGGGTGAACCCCATTGGTTCAACAAGCCAATCTAGTCCGGGGTTTGCGAAGAAACAACCAGCCCGCCCTAACCGGCCCAACCGGTAGATCTGAGTAAAGCTCGGGGTTCACTAGGAAATGAGCAGTGCATGGGTTAGCTTGTTGGAATGCCGGCAGAGATGGGGGAAAAGGGCAATGTGACAACCCATGAATCAGTCATACCGACCATTTTGGGGCGACCTTAAGAAACTTGTGTGTATTGGGTTTACCGGTTTACCCCATCACGTGGGTGGAAGGTTGATCGTGGTGTCCTTTTGTTTTTTTGTTTTGTTGATGTTTGAGAAGGGAACAAACATGAAGGAAAAAACGGAAGATCTGCTTAATAAAGCCTGGGTTTCGCATGTGTCGACCATCGAGGTTGTCCATGTTTCAATGTTTCCAAAACAAGAGCGATCCATCTATGATCCACCTATAAGGATGGCCTTTTGTGGCAGGTTAACCCTGTTTTTTTGCTTCCCCATTAAGATTGCCATTTGATGGGCATACTGAGTATACTGTGTCCATTTTCGCATTTTTTCCCTCAAGACGTTTTTGGTGCCTTCCGCAATTTTCTGCCCTATCCCACTTGTTCCAGGAGAAGAAAAGCGACTGATCCTGTGAGGATCCGCGCCGGTTTCACTACTAGGGAAGAAACCTGCACAGTAGTCACCCTGATGAGCACAGAACCAACTGACAAATTATACCCTGAAAGCTAAATGATGGATTTTACCCTCCATTTTGTTCTGATAAACCACAACTCACCCATGGGTTAAAATGAGTCATTGAGATTTTCTGGGGTAACAAAAACGGGTACTCATTAAGTGATATTAAGTGGCTGTTTGGTCTACGCAAGCTGCAGACTATGCAATAGTTCACATCCCCAATAGACCACGGAAAGCAGCTGGGGATGGACATGCAGGATTCGAGGAGGATGACGAACTAGACGACATGTTGAGAGTCATCGGAAGTCATGTCCATCAGCCAAGAATCCCAGGAGAATATTGTTTTTGTGAATGTTAGTGAAAAAACAAGCGCAAGCACATTGTCAGAAGCTGATGTCACTCAGAGCCGTGGTTGATCTGGCACAGTGGGGCCCAAGGGTCCCTGCACATTTCATCCTTACCTGGGAGGGAACAGGGCCCCACCAAGATCCCGTGGCAGAAGCGTCATGGGGATGCGAGTTGGAGCCCAAAAAAACTTGCCAGGACGGAAGGAACCATGGTTGCAACCTCCATAAATTGGGACACAGCCCCAATAGTTCTGGCATTTTTTTCCCCCAGGCAAATTAAGTGGAACTGCACCCCCCGGGTACACAATTCTCCCGATGTGTTTTTCGAAAATGGGGGAACCCCTCTTAATCATCAGTTTCCCCTGAACAGAAATGACTGTTTAACTTGTTTGATAACTTCGGGTCCCCCTGACTTCAGAAGCCAAATTGACCCTGCACATCTTGGCCTGCTGTTACTCCAAGCCCAAGAGACCCATAGGGTTGCAGTTTTCCACTAGGTGTCCAGTGGGTTTCCATTTTGCGTGGGTATATGGCCATAGTTCTAGGGATTTGATCGCGGGAACATGATAACACCAACTACACCCCTACGAAATAGACCAAGACGATGGATTTGTTGGTCCTCCCCGAGCGGTATGTACCAGCTATGACTGGACACGGCAATGCTTCCACATCTTCCGCATGCCCCTGCTCTGAGTCCGGTAGTGTCTGGCTCATGCAATTTGGAGGCCCTCTTGGTGTGACAGATCTGACCACCAACTTATGGGGATAGGGATCCACTGGATTTTTTTGTTCACCAACATTAAGAACATAACCCAAGCTGTTTTGATACGATCCCCACCTCGGCTTCGCCCAGAGACGAACCACATTTTTCTAGCTTTGAATGAGGGCTGGGTTGGGTCTCCAAGCATCACAATTTATTAACAAATACGACATACTGGTATTTAGAGGGATATTCATGATCTACATTATACGATGGGATGATTTTTATGGGGTGTGGATTTTCGAGACAGCCCTACAGCCCCATCCGTAAACACGGCCATCATTTGAGCGTGCCATGTCTGCCTCGAACGTGGCGATCTGGCACATTCGCCGCGTTTTGCTGAGGTTTTAAAGGCCATAACTGGGATACCAGTTTACCAACCAGTATAGTGGGATTGGATAAGGGATATTCTGATATTCTTCATTGCTCAATTGAAGTACACATATAGATATAGACAATTTAGACGTACATGTCTAGCATGACATGACATGACATGACATGACATTGCATTACATTTGACAAATTGCAGAACATACGCTAGCTACATTGTAGTCATACATTGTAGTCATACATCGTATGCATTGCGTCGCCTACATTGCACATAAATTTCATGCAGCTTGAACTCACACATACAAGCCATGCAATCCAGAGAGCCCATGACATGAATACAATGCAATATCTACGATAAATACATTCCGTACACATACGTACAACAGGTTTATTTTACATTGCATTGCATGCATTACATGGATTACATCACATCACAAAATACCCGCGTTAAATTACATACACTAGATTAATTACGTGAGTCACATTACATGCCTCACATTGCAGAGGCTACACGTTGTATGTTACCCTATAATATATTACATATGTTACATTTTCACATTGCATTGCCTGACATGACGCTGGCTGACATGACACCACATCATAAGACATTACATCACGTTTCACGCCGTCCAATACAAGTTGCGACAAGGCAATACAAGACACGAAGAGACAAGAAAACACGAAGCAAGACAATACAACACAGTGCGATGCCAATACAATGCCATACAGTAATTGAAATGAATGCATTCATACAGCATTTCTGCATAAATTCATACATACGCTAATCTCTATTATTCCATCCTCCTTTGCGTGTTTGAAAGTCTTGTAGTACTGGTTTGCCCACCAGGGAGTAAGTTGGTTCCTGGTGCACGGCTTGGAGGTCAACGAGCTGCTGAGGTAGAAGCCTCGGTAAAAAAAACACGTGGCTTCACATGAACCTGCCTGGAAGAGGCTCGGACAGGAAGGGGTCCTTGCATCGCTTGGCTTCAGTGAACCATTTGTGAAATGATTACGTGGTTGGAAAGAGCTCTGTTTTTCTTGTCCTTTGCCACAAAACACTCAAACAATGTCTGAGTGAAGGGTGAAACAGGACATGGAACAAATATGGAAAAAAACATGCAAATCAGCCAGGCAAAAACTGCAAAACATCCTTGACCAAAAGATGAACGTCGCAGGCAATGTGGTCAACATTCCAGTGCCCTGCTCGGCAAGGGCAAATAAACGCGTTTCGGCTGCAGTCCAGAATCCATTAGCTGAACTCAAGGGTTCTGACAAGATTTGTCTTTGCAACCGCAACATTTGCTGCTTAAATCCATTTCTTCTTGCTTACATCTCCATTTTTGGCCATTGGATCCTTAAAATTTTTTTGGTTGAATTCCAAGTTGGCGCCCCTTGCCGTTTCATTTAACCCAAAGCCACCTACTTGACGCACATATTCTAATTTCCGAACATACTCTGACACACTGTACCACTCTTGATGTACTTCCTTTCTTGGCACGCGCTGATTGACTTATTTTCGAATGGAGCCCCGGCCCTGGGTAAGACACGCCATACCATGGCGCAGCTTGCTGCTTCTGGTTTCCTTCATTTCCAAAATAAACCCAATAATAAACAATCCCCAAAATCAGCATAAATGCGGTTTATAAACCAGCCCGGTTTCCCACATTATTCCATTTCCAACGCGCATGTAACTGGGGAGATTCCGTATGAAGCACTTCAGCTCCCAATGAGGGATGGCTACCGGACCTGCCTCGACAGGTTGAAGAGGTCGCACAGATCAGAGGTGCTGCAAGGCAGGCGCTTGCTGAGTGTTGTTTTTTTGCTCCTGTTGAATGTGAGAAGCAATACAGCACGGTAGAAAACCAGCGGAAACCTGCAGGAATTTTTCGCATGACTGTTGCTTCAACTGCCTTTGGATGACAAACGGATGATGCCCATGAGGGCAGCCAATCAGTTTTCAAAACGATTGCGACATTTCCGGATAGAACCTGCACTTTCGGCCCGCAGCGCGTGGCTTGGGTGAACAAGTCGCCATAATTCGTTCACTCCATCGCAAGCACATCGCCATGGTGTCCCTATGGTGCAGCTTGCTGCTGTTGCACAGCTGCCTGGCGAAGATGGCCTTCCACAACCGGACGGAGCTGCGGGAGGCTCTCGAGGCGTGGGAAAAGAGGCCTTGGGGCTGGGACAAGTGGACGAATCAACAAGATACCTTCCCTGAAACTTGGCAGGTTAAGGACGGTGGTGGTGATATTCACTCAGATGGGTCGTCAAAGGATGTTTAGTTTGCAAACTTCCGACTTACGGACGAATGTCCAGGGGCTGTCTTGTCATCATGTTCATGTCTCATCATGTCAACCACATCATCACCAAGTGGTTGGGAAGACTGACAGTTCGGAAGCGTGTGAATTAATTCACGGGTAAAAACACTCGGCGCGAGACCGTGTGTTTTTTTGGGTAGAGTGGCTTCCGTGGTCACCAAAGTAGGGTCGCTGTTTCTGGGGTTGCGGGCCTGGATCTGGGACAGTTGCCGACAAATCATGCACAGGACTGTGGCAAGAGCTCGATTTGCACTTCAAAACATTTTTGGAAGACGAGGTCGGCACGAAGCGCACAGGACTGTAGTGAGAGCTCGATTTGCACAAAAATCGTTCAAAACTGAGGCGCTCGGAGCACTTTTGGAAGATGAGGTCAGCAAAATGTGCTCGAGACTGTAGCGAGAGTTCGATTTTATATAAAAATGCAAAAAAAACCGTGGGGATCGGAGCACTTTTGGAAGATGAAGTTGGTCAAATATATTCATTCCTTGATTCCTTGCTTCCTTGATTCCATGACTCCAATCCATTCATTCCATTCGTTCCATTCATTCCATTCATTCCATTCACTCCATTCACTCCATTTATTCCATTCATTCCATTCTTTCCATTCTTTCCTTCTTTCCTTCTTTCCTTCTTTCCTTCTTTCCTTCTGTCTTGCATTCCTTCATTTTGTTCATTCATTCCGTCCATTCCATTCCATTCCATTCCATCCCATTCCATCCCATTCCTTTCCCATTCCTTTCCATTCCGTTCCATTGCGTTCCATTCTATTCCGTTCCGTTCCATTCCGTTCCATTCCATTCCATTCATTTCTTTCATTCCATTTATTCCTGCCAGCTCATGTCATTTCATCCCGTTTTTCCTTGGTTGTAAGCTTCATCTCATCGCTTTCCAGGTCACACACAATTCCTATAAGCAAACCGTTCCTATAGCCATGTCCCTTTTTCGAAACTTCCGCCCGGCGCGTGCCGTGCACTACTGGTAGTTTTCAATATCCACTGGATGGTAGCTTAGTCAGTTGGGGGTTGGTGATGTTCACTCAGATGGGCATGTCTAAAAATGAGGGATTCCCCCCAAAACGGCAAATGTGATAGGACAAATGATGAAACAAACGCACACACACACACACACACGCATGGATTAAGGGCACGCTATCTTCAGACACATACACACACATGTGGATGTCATGTGTATGTCATGGTTCAATCAACAGGGAACTGGATTTTGTTGGTCTCTGTTAGGTTTTGAACAACGCAACATCATCAACATCAGCCTTAGGGCCTTAGGGATGTTTCATCTTCTCTGTGCTTCTCGTAAGGAGAGACCCCGTTTGATCTCCAAATACGGTGACATCGCTGAATGGGACATCTCAGAAGTGACCAATATGTCCGGATTGTTTTCAGGGTCATATCTTAGATACTTTAATGAAACCATCGGATCCTGGAACACATCAGCCGTTACCGATATGAGTTTCATGTTCGACGGAGCCTATTCCTTCAACAGCCCAATTGGAGCTTGGAACACATCATCGGTGATCAGCATGAGCCGCATGTTTGCTCGTGCCAGCTCCTTCAACCAACCAATCGAAAATTGGAACACATCAACTGTGACCAACATGAGTGGCATGTTTTCCAGTGCTGAGTCCTTCAACCAACCAATCCAGAAGACCCAGAAGTGGGACACATCAGCTGTGACCGACATGAGCAGCATGTTCTACAAAGCTAGGTGGTTCAACCAACCAATTGGAACCTGGGACACATCAGCCGTTACCGATATGAGTTTCATGTTCGACGGAGCCTATTCCTTCAACAGCCCAATTGGAGCTTGGAACACATCATCGGTGATCAGCATGAGCCGCATGTTTGCTCGTGCCAGCTCCTTCAACCAACCAATCGAAAATTGGACCACATCAACTGTGACCAACATGAGTGGCATGTTTTCCAGTGCTGAGTCCTTCAACCAACCAATCCAGAAGTGGGACACGTCAGCTGTGATTGACATGAGTAAGATGCTCGAAGCTGCAGAGGCCTTCAATTGTCCACTTGGACATTGGAACACATCAGCTGTGAAGGACATGAGTGGCATGTTTTCCGGTGCTATGTCCTTCAACCAACCAGTTGGACTTTGGAACACATCAGCTGTGAAGGACATGCGTGGCATGTTTTCCGGTGCTATGTCCTTCAACCAACCAGTCGAAAATTGGACCACATCAGCTGTGACCGACATGAGCAGCATGTTCTACAAAGCTAGGTCCTTCAACCAACCAATTGGAACCTGGGACACATCAGCTGTGAGATATATGGACTCCATGTTCTTGGAGGCTGAGTTCTTCAACCAACCAGTTGGAACTTGGAAGACATCAGCTGTGACGGACATGAGTCGCATGTTCTACAAAGCAAAGTACTTCAACCAACCAATTGGATGCTGGGACACATCAGCTGTGAGATATATGGACTCCATGTTCTTGGAGGATGAGTCCTTCAACCAACCAATTGGAACCTGGGACACATCAGCTGTGAGAAACATGTCCTCCATGTTCTACAAAGCTCGGTCCTTCAACCAACCAGTTGGACTTTGGAACACATCAGCTGTGAAGGACATGCGTGGCACGTTTTCCGGTGCTATTTCCTTCAACCAATCAGTTGGAACTTGGAATACATCAGCTGTGACCGACATGAGCAGCATGTTCTACAAAGCTAGGTCCTTCAACCAACCAATTGGAACCTGGGACACATCAGCTGTGAGAGATATGGACTCCATGTTCTTGGAGGCTGAGTCCTTCAACCAACCAATTGGAACCTGGGACACATCAGCTGTGAGAAGAATGTCCTCCATGTTCAACCATACCTCGTCCTTCAACCAACCAGTCGAAAATTGGAACACATCAGCTGTGACGGACATGCGTGGCATGTTTTCCAGTGCTATGTCCTTCAACCAACCAGTTGGATCTTGGAAGACATCAGCTGTGACCGACATGAGCAGCATGTTCTACAGAGCTTGGTCCTTCAACCAACCAATTGGAACCTGGGACACATCAGCTGTGAGAGATATGGACTCCATGTTCTTGGCGGCTGAGTCCTTCAACCAACCAATTGGAAGCTGGGACACATCAGCTGTGAGAAAAATGGCCTCCATGTTCAACTATACCTGGTCCTTCAACCAACGAGTTGGACTTTGGAACACATCAGCTGTGAAGGACATGAGTGGCATGTTTTCCAGTGCTATGTCCTTCAACCAACCAGTTGGATCTTGGAAGACATCAGCTGTGACCGACATGAGCAGCATGTTCTACAGAGCTTGGTCCTTCAACCAACCAATTGGAACCTGGGACACATCAGCTGTGAGAGATATGGACTCCATGTTCTTGGCGGCTGAGTCCTTCAACCAACCAATTGGAAGCTGGGACACATCAGCTGTGAGAAAAATGGCCTCCATGTTCAACTATACCTGGTCCTTCAACCAACGAGTTGGACTTTGGAACACATCAGCTGTGAAGGACATGAGTGGCATGTTTTCCAGTGCTATGTCCTTCAACCAACCAGTTGGATCTTGGAAGACATCAGCTGTGACCGACATGAGCAGCATGTTCTACAGAGCTTGGTCCTTCAACCAACCAATTGGAACCTGGGACACATCAGCTGTGACCGACATGAGCAGCATGTTCTACAAGGCTCGGTCCTTCAACCAACCAATTGGAACCTGGGACACATCAGCTGTGATATATATGAACTCCATGTTCTTGGAGGCTGAGTCCTTCAACCAACCTATTGGAACCTGGCACACATCAAATGTGATAAAAATGTCCTCCATGTTCTACAAAGCTCGGTCCTTCAACCAACCAATTGGAACCTGGCGCACATGGCGTGTGGAATATATGGACTCCATGTTCTTGGAGGCTGAGTCCTTCAACCAACCAGTCGAAAATTGGCACACATGGAGTGTGAGATATATGAACAACATGTTCAGCGGGGCTAAGTCCTTCAACCAACCCATTGGAACCTGGGACACATCAGCTGTGACGGACATGAGCAGCATGTTCTACAGAGCTTGGTCCTTCAACCAACCCATTGGAACCTGGGACACATCAGCTGTGACGGACATGAGCCGCATGTTCTACGACGCACGGTCTTTTGATATGCCGATTGGTTCGTGGGACATTTCTTCGGCGGAACGCTACTTGCCTGAGTGGATGACGTTGAAAGCGCGAACTCTGGACACATCTGTATAGGGTAGATAGGTAGATGCTTCCATTGCTTCTAGCATGTTAACATATGGTACGCTAAATTCGCCTTACAATAGGGTACTTATATCCCTCAAAGTTCACTGGTTAATCAGTGGGGGACATTCCGCAAGCACTCACCATGTCGCGCCCGGCCAAGGTTTTGATAACATGTTTGGTGGCACCACGGCCTGGCTGCAGCCCCCCTGCGCAGCAGGCAGAGGTCCTGGGGAAAATCTCCTGATGTGCGAGCCCTGCGGGATGGGGCAGCATGCGGTAAAAGCCGGCTACTGCCAGGCATGCCCTCCAGGTGGGCTGGGGACCGAAAAAATCAAACAGCAGCTTCCGGGTATTGCATCGTGAATCAGGTGAAATGAGCACCACAAATCTAGCCTCGCCCCAAATTTGTCTGTGTTCTCTTGAGAAGCGTAGATGTTCTTCGATGCTAAGGCCTTGGCACGGACAATCTTTGTGCAGATGAGACTTACAGGTTTGACTCTTGCCTCCTCAGGTTCAGCTCCCTCCGAAGACCGTGGCACCTGTGACCAATGTCCTCCTTCTCATTACTCCGTGAGTGGCCTTGACGGTTGCTTTGAATGCACTGGTGAGCTCCTGCTCTTGATTGACAACGACTGTGTCTCTCGGCAGTTGACACGGCATTTAGAAGATGTTTACGCTCCATTCCCGACTCACAACGTAATTAGTATGCATGTCGATACCACGGTTTTGTTGCAAACACTTGGTCAGATCATATACATTTTGCAGCAGATATCTACCATATCTACAATCATCGACACAAACAGCAGTGAAGTCTATCTCTTTGCGCGCGGCCAGATGCTCAATAGGCGGTGCCCCCCGGTTATGTTTGTTGGTTTATCATCCCTAACCAGTTTGGTATATCATAGATGTTTCTGCCATAAACCCCAAGTATTGGAGTTCTAGACCACCTTAGCCATCATCAATCATCAAATATAGATCCCATGAACATCCATCAAAACCCTATTCTTGTTGCTTAAACAACCATTTTCCTATGGTTTGCTTCAGCACCCTGCAGGTGCGGTGGCACTTGCCACTGCTGGTGCTGGGTTTCGCAGGCTTCGCAGTTGCCGCTGTGTTGTGTCCTTCCTGGCTCCGCTCCCGACGTGCCAAGAAGGCCAAGCGCCTCATGGAAGAACGTGCCGAACAGAGCAAAAGAGCTGGTGTGCCAGGGTAGCAAACAGTTGTTTTTTGAACAGCGGATTCAGAATTTGCATATACATATTGTATTTGATATGATATGAGTATTGTAAGTATTGTATTGATATCAGATTCTTTATGATTAATACATGTGTGTGCACAAGTTGTTTAATTGGTGTTGACCCGCAACTCCTTTTGCAGTGCCATTTTAAGCCGAGGTGAGCATTGAATATCTCCTTTCAGCTGAATTCGCGGAACTGGCCACGCAACGCACCGGCAGAGCCGACCCGACCTTTGCAGTCACTTGCTTTTAGTACCCCCAACCCAGCATACGGACCTCAGTTGGTCTATCCCTCCCAAAGCCCCACTCGCCCAACCCGGCAATCCAAGACCATAGTTCATATTTCACTTGACATCTTGGAAGTATATTACTCCTCATCACCTTGAAGACTGCAGCTCAGGATATGAAAACCGCTTTCTGGCTCTCGGAGGACCCCATTGGCCGCGACATCATTTGCCCCCGAGATGGCAGGGCCGGGTGCGCCTTGGTGGACTGGATACCAAGAAGTGAGAGCCGCGAGCAGACGCACTTCATGTCCTGGACATGGAGATACAGCCTGCTGCAGGCACCTTCCCTTGCACGTGCTGTGCTGGATACATCCGCCATGAATTCAGGTTAGGCCCTCGCTTTGGAACGCGACGAAACGCATCGCTTTGGAACGCGCCTGATCATCATCATCATCATCATCATCATCATCATCATCATCGTCATCGTCATCGTCATCGTCATCGTCATCGTCATTGTCATTGTCATCGTCATCATCATCATCATAATCACCATCATGTTTTTTTTCCTTCTTCTTCTTCTTCTCCTTCTTCTTATTCATCATCATCATCATCATCGTCATCGTCATCGTCATCGTCATCATCATCATCATCATCATGCTTCTTCTTCTTCTTCTTTTTCTTCTTCTTTTTTCTTCTACTTCTTTGTCACCATCATTATCATCATTAGGTTGTTCTTCTTCTTTGTCATCATCATCTTCATCATCATCATCATCCTCCTCTTCATCATCCTCCTCCCCCCAACCGCCCAAAAGCCTAAAAGGTAGAACCATTGTTATTATCTAAATTGGCACATGATAAGAAACATTCTAACACCCTGAAGCATCAACAGTCGTGAACCCTAACCCCCCCACCCGCCAAAAAGCTTAAAAGGTAGAACCATTTTATTATTTGAATTGGCACATGATAAGAAATATTCTAACACCCTGAACCATCAACGGCCGTGAAGCTTAACGCATCACCCCCCAGAAGCCTAAAAGGTAGAACCGTCAGTATTATCTGGATTGGCACGTGATAATAACAATTCTAGCACCCTGAACCATGAACAGTCGTGAGCCCTAACCCCCCCCCCCCCCAAAAGCTAAAGATAAACCATTGGTGTTACTGGATTGGCAAATGATAATAAAAATTCTAACACACACCCTGACCATGAACAGTCGTGCACCCTAATAAGCCCCCCCCCCCACCCCCCCAAAAAGCCTAAAAGGTAGAACTCTGAAGCATCAACAGTCGTGAACCCTAACCCCCCACCACCCCTCCAAAAGCCTAAAAGGTAGAACCATTGTTACTGTCAGGATTGGCAACGTACAGTTTGTGTGGCAGGCGTGGCACTTGGTGACACCGACCTAACGACTACATTTCTCATTGGGGGCCTTTTTTTTGTCATAGTATCGCTTTGGAACGCGTGAGGCTTCCAAAGTACTGCGCCTGTCAGTAAATCTGATGTCTGCTTGGTTAGCGGTGGTTTGATGATATGTAGCATTTTGTGTTCCAAAGTGAGGTCAAAATTGCTGTGTTCCAAAGTGATGCTTCAGACTGTGTTCCAAAGTGATCCTGTTACCATGAATCCCAGTTGGTCTATAGCTCTGGACGAACTTACTTATTGGATAAAACTTTGCAGTCATATAATCCTGGAAACCCTGGGAACTGGCATGTACATTATTTTTGGTCTATTCGGGGGCTTACCCGCAATGAACGACAGGGTCACGGCAACCCAAAATTGCGATGCACATATTTGACCCCAAACTTGGGGGGCATGCATGAAATACTATATACTGTGATGGCCCGGCACTTAGAATATATTGTTTTAAACATTTTTAAACAATATACAGTACAATATATAATGCAATACAGTAATCAAACAATTTAAACTTCTTAGTTCTATGCATTGTCACGCTGCTAAATTACAGACTGTGCATCATGCAATTGCTTATTGTACCATTAAACGGTCACAAAGCCACGAATATGAGCGTTGGGCGGGCGTTGAATCACTAGCATTGTAAAATAACGTTATATTACATTATAGTACTACTGTGGTTATATATTATGTAATCATTCTATTGTACTATACTATACATTGTGAATACCAATGGAAAAACTAATAAACTTAATCAAGCAATTAATAAATATAAATGAAACAAAAACATTGAAAACCAGTTAAAACCTAGCCAAAAACATTGAACATCAAAGAAAACCAAGGAAAAACAAAGAAACCACAAAGAAAAGATATACTAAGGTTAGTGTTTTTTTTCATATTCTAAGTGCATGATTGTACTGTGTTTTTCCAGCTAAAACCAATTTAAAAACTATAAAATATCTTAAAACATATATAAAATATTATACTTTATATTCTAAGTGCAGGCGATTATATTCTAAGTGTGATGCTTACTTGCCAGGACTTAGAATAATCCTATTTTCTAAGATATTAGTTAGTACTCGCACATATAATATTTTAAAAGTAAAAATCTTTAAAATCATATTCTAAGTGCTGGGCCGCCACTGTAATCCTATATTATATAGTATTTTTGCAAAACAAAAGGTAACCTTTAAGAGAACCAGAATGAACAAACACGTTCCCAGCCCCTAGGAAAAAGAAACGCAGTCCATCTGGTTTTCCAGGTATGTATCATCCGTTTATATATATATATATACATATCACACATATATATATGTGATATGTATATATACAATTCCTGGGCCGGCCTGTGCGTCGTGGCCATCTAGATGCTTTGACTTTGTCCTTTTCATGCAGATCGGGTTTTGCCTCACTTGGGGGCACCTTATTCAGAACGCCTGTTTCAGCCTGGATCCAAAATCATTCAACCGTTCAATGAACCATTTGGCTTTTCAATTCAGATTTGATACGTCGCTGTACAATACTTCCATTCATCCCGTCTGTAGTGGATCCCATGATCATCTGCAGGTTTGCGATGCCCTGGAAAGCTTTCAGGGCAGCGCTAAGCCAAGCACATCAATGGCATCGTCGGGTACGCATTCCAAGGGCGTGTTCTTCTTCATGTGCTTTTTCGTGAACAACCAGTACAGGCATACTGCAGATGGGGTGTTGGTTGGTTATTTATTAATGGATATGTTTACTAACCTATTTGGTTTATTGCTGATCATGAACTGTCCCATTGCGGAAAGACTCCTCTTAACGAAGAAACATGAGATGGTCGGGACAGTTTTCATGGCTCATTTGACATCACTTGGCTTGTGGTTGCCATAAGAATAGTCCTCCCACGATTTAGCGTTGGAATGTTTGTCGGATTGCAGATTTTGGACTGGTATGCTGAGGACGTGTGTCATCTAGAAAACGCACCCCAAGTTATGATTTTGGCGTGACTCCTTTCCCTCTGCAGGCTTATTGTGGAGGAGTCCAGCACTGGCAGCGATAATCTTGAAGAGGTGTTCGAGGGAAACCTGAAACGCATCGGACGGATGGTTGCGATTTTGGATAACTGGGATCGACCGGTGTATCTGAGTCGCGTGTGGACGGTGTACGAGCAGTTCGTTGCCCCCACCATTGATGTTCAGGCCAGGGTTTGAAAGCATCACAACCTTTTATTTAGGTTCAGCGGTGCTATTTGAGTCTGCGCATGTCTTGGCCCTTGTGTCGGACATTTCATCTATTGATATGGGCCACTAGTGCCACCAGCCCGATCTTATCCATTCTCGTCGCGATTTTGTCTTCCCTCTCATGGCAATTCGATCCAGAACCGATTATGAGGAAAGATGAATGTGGTGGTTTTACCCCAATGAATGAATTATCATTTGTTTCAATACATTTGGGTTAATGCGATCTTTGCTGATTTCCATGTTGACTCAAGCTTTCAGAATGATCAGCATATGCCTCTCGTTTGCCTTGCCGTGTCTGGATGGATTTGTACCAAAACAGTACCAACAACCCCCATGGTTGATCACCACTGTTACCCCTTCGAATTGTCGTTTTTGAGGTATCTCTATTTTGGGGGTATCTCCGTTTTTGGACAAATTCAAATCAGATTGTTGCTTATAAATCCCATGATACCCCACTGTATCCCCATCGTATCCCACGATATTCTCATGATATTCCAATTAGGATTATTTGCGCAGCCCGGTTCAGGTGCAGTTCGTACTGCCCAAGGCTCCAACAGATCAGTTGCAGCATCAGATCGCGCGTGGGTCTGCAGGCATCGATGAGGTGATCAAATCTCTCTGTCAGGTGAATTCCAGAGAGGCCAAGGCATGGAAGATGGAAGATGAGATCAAGGTGAAACTTCAGCTAAGCTTGAGGCAACATTTTTAGATTTCTTTTAGGATCTTGCTGATTTTGTGGCTTCCTCTGTAAGTAGGTTTAAAGCGGGTAAAAACCTTGTTCAAATGCTTTTGCCTTTGTCGAAGGAGGTTTAGAGGTCAAACTTCCGACAGTATGGACAGATGAAAAAGCAGAGGTGGGAAGAGTCAGAGAAGAGAAGACAAGATAAGATAAGAGAAGAAGAAAGAAGATCAGAGAAAAGTAAGAGTCAGAAGAAGGAAGATGCAGGTGCGCGAAAAAGTAGAAAAGTCGCGAAACATTGTGTTTTTCCAATGTTTTGGCGCTGGAGGGTCGAAAAGTAGGCTCGCTAACGCAGCAGGTGCGGAGCCATCTGGGGAGATGAGAGATGAAAAATTGCATGCCATTTTGGTACGAAGCAGATTTCGAAGTCAAAATGCTAAAAGCACCTCAGTGTCGGATCACTTTTGGAAGTTGAGATGTTTGAAAAGTGCATGGGGTTGTGGCCCGAAGCACCGTTCGAAGTCAAAATGGTAAAAACGCGCCATTCAATTCTCGGAGCACTTTGGAAGTTGAGATGTTCGAAAAGTGCATGGGGTTGTGGCCCGAAGCACCGTTCGAAGTCAAAATGGTAAAAGCGCGCCATTCACTTCTCGGAGCGCTTTTGGAAGTAGAGATGTTAAAAAAGTACACGGCGTTGTGGCGCGAAGCACATTTTCAAGTCAAAATGTGCAAAACAACGCCGGTCCGGACCACTTTTGGAAGTTAGTGATGTACAAAAAGTGCACGCCGCTGTGGCGCGAAGCACATGTCGAAGTTAAATTGTGAAAAGGCACAACATTCTCGGACCATTTTTGGAGGTTGAAGCGTCGTTTTGTGTGGGAGGCGCAACTACCACTTTCACGACCACTACGCTACAACTATAACGTCAACCACACTGCACAAGAATACAACTGCAACCGCAACTACAACTTCAACTTCATTTACAACTACAACTACCACTACAACTACAACTACAGCTTCAACTACAACTACGCTACAACGACAACTACAGCTACCGCTAGCACTAGCATTACCAGTACACTACCACCACAACTCCAACTCCAACTGCAACTACAACTACATTTTCGACTATATACATGCACCTACAAGTACAACTACAACTACAACTCCACTACAACTACAGCTACAAGTACAACTACGACTGAACTACACTACAGCTTCAACTACGACCACGACTACGATTACAACTACCACTACACTACAACTACAACTTCAAGTACAACTTCAACTTCAACTTCAGCTTGAACATCAAGATCAGGATCAGCATCAACTACACTACAGCTACAATAAAACCACGACTGCAACTTCGACTTCAACTACCACTACACTACTGTACACTGCACCTACAACTACAACTACAGTTACAACTACAACCGCACTACAACTACAATTGGATGAGTAGTGCTATGATGAGTGGTGTCAGATGAGGGCTGTGTGATGAGTGGTGGTGCGTGTGGTGTGAGAGGCAGCAGGTCCTCCACAAGGCTCTGTGTACTGCGCCTGCCACACGAAAGCCAGCCGCGGCCCAGCGGCGCCCACGCGCGCAGCAGCTCCTCCAGAAGGCTCTGTGTACTGTGTCTGCCACACAAAAGCCAGCCGCGGCCCAGCGGCGCCCACGATGAAAGCCAGCCATGTGTGGCAAGGGTATGAGATGAGTGTGCTCTGTGATGAGTGGTGTCAGATGAGTGCTGTGTGATGAGTGGTGGTGTGTGTGGTGTGAGAGGCTATGTGCTGCACAGCAGGTCCTCCAGAAGTGGGTGTGAGCCATACGAAGTGTTGGTGTGAGAGCTGAGTGCTGTGTGATGAGTTGGTGTGAGAGCTATGTGTGGTGTGAGATGTGAGAGGCTAAGAGTGTTGGTGTGAGAGCTGAGTGCTGTGTGATGAGTTCGTGTGAGAGCCATGTGTGGTGTGAGTTGGTGTGTGAGCTGAGTGCTGTGTGATGAGTTGGTGTGAGAGCCATGTGTGGTGTGAGATGTGAGAGGCTAAGACGAGGCGGCGCGGCGGCGGAAGGACGGGCGGAAGCAGCGGCGGGTGCAAAGCGAAAAACAAGAACCCCACAAAGTGATGTGGGGAACAACAACAACCACCACAACCACAACCACAACCAACAAACAACAACCAACAACAACCAACAACAACCAACAACAACCAACAAACAACAAACAACAACAAACAACAACCAACAACCAACAACCAACAACCATCAACCAACAACCATCAACCAACAACCATCAACCAACAACCATCAACCAACAACCATCAACCAACAACCATCAACCAACAACCATCAACCAACAACCATCAACCAACAACCATCAACCAACAGCCATCAACCAACACGCCATCACCCACAACCATACAAACAATCGCCATCACCAACAACCAAACAACAACGCAACCAACAACAATCAACCAACAACCATCAACCAAAAAACAGCAAACAACAACCCAACAAACACAAACCACAAACACAACAAACAACAACCAACAAACAGCAACAAACAACCAAACAACAAACCAACAAACAACAACAACACAACAACAACAAACAACAACAAAAACAACAAGCAACAACAACAAACAACAACAACAACAACAACACCAAACACAACAACAAACAAGAACAAACAACCAAAAACACACACACACCAAACAACAACAACACCAACAACGCAACAACAACAACAACAACAAACAACACAACAACAACAACAACAACAACAAACACAACGAACAACAACACACACAACACACCACAACAACAACAACACACAACAACAACAACAACACACAACAACAACCAACACACAACAACACACAACAACCCAACAACCACAACAACCACAACAACCCAACAACCACAACAACCACAACAACCAACACAACCAAACAACCACAACAACAACAACAACCACAACAACCACAACAACCACAACAACCACCAACAACAACCAACAACCACAACAACCACACCAACCAACCAACCACAACAACCAACAACAAACAACCAAACAACCAAACAACCAACAACAACCACAACAACCACAACAACCACAACAACCACAACCAACACAACCAACAACAACCAACAACAACCAACAACAACCAACAACAACCAACAACAACCAACAACAACCAACAACAACCAACAACAACCAACAACAACAACAACTACTACTACTACTACTCCTACTACTCCTACTACTCCTACTACTACTACTACTCCTACTACTCCTACTACTCCTACTACTACTACTACGACGACGACGACGACTACTACTACTACTACTACAACTTCAACTTCAGCTGCATCTTGAACTTCAGTTTTACTACAACTACAACTACAACTACCACTGCGTTACACTACAATACACCACACCACACTACATTTAGCACTTGTGGGTGAGGCGACCACTCCAACAAGCACAGCTCCAACCACCTTTCAGTCCATAAGTGGATTTGCTCTGCCAATCACAGCAGCTACCTCTCCTATAGTTGTCTCTCTTTGAACTTCCGCCACCGCCTTGTGTGGTACTACAGGTAATTAATTTCCACTAAACTTCATGTGTAGGTGCCGCCCTGCAGGAACGTAGAAACCACGATGTTCCTCTAGAGGCCAAGGTTACCCATGCGATGCGCTCAAAAAGGGGCGTGTGCTGTGGGGCCCTGTAATGAACTCAATGTTTGACCGTTCTTGTTTCCTTAACGAAGACGCTTCTCATCCGAAAAACTACAGGAAAGGAAAGACAACGAATACATGCCACTCTATTAGTGAGGTTTTGTTAGCCTTGTTTCCACATATGTTTCATCTTTCCTTCCTTCTGTCATCCGCGACTGCAACTAAGGAAGTCCGTGATCAAGGAGGGTAATTTGGGGCTGCCAGTTGGGAGTGGACAACTGATGCCTCCAGCTGCATCTAGACGAATCTGCAGGTTTTTTGTTGTAAACAAATTGCAAACAGATAGACGAAATCGGCCTGAAGACTATTTACCAATGACCGGTAGAAATCGAACAGTTCACAAGGGAAACATATGCTGTACTTGTGCCCAACGTCTTCCTCGGGAAACACCTCTTTTGTTTGAAACAGCATCTGCTAGCGGCAGGGGGTGTTGAGAATCAGGTCTTTGCATGTTGAAACAACTTTCTACTTCACCAGAAGAACCCCTCCCAGTCATGAGTTCGTTTTTACATGTAATTAAATATACTCTCATCCTACATTCACCATAAATCCATTTAGCTTAGTTATAACCAACTTACCTTACCTATCTGCGGGGGCTCTGCAGGTTTGCAATCTTTTTCGGGATTGCTGCGTCAGGATACCGTTGGCTTCCAGCACGTGGATGCCCATGTGACGGATGTTATGACGACGTGGATTGGAGATGTATTGGAGCAGACATGCAAACAGTCGCTGGGCTGCTGAACATTTGGATTAATTATGGAAATCCACCACTGCGAGCTTTGAAACACACAAGATGGCAGGAATGATCATATTTCATGCGGGTGGATGCAAGTTGCAGATGATCAAGCGCCGTTTGACACGTCGCAAGAGACGACAGGGCATAATTGCCTTTGTCCATGAACCATTTGTCCCAGAAATGGTTGCTGCAAAAAATATGGTTTACATCTATATTAGATGATTCAGGGATAAAGACCTTTAAAAAGTACCCAGCAAAACCAAACCCATCGCACCTGAGTTTTTGCTCAGCAAAGCCCTTCCGAGCGGAATCATCCCATGTAATCCCATATCCTCGCATGTAATTTCAGTTGTTTGGTTTGCAATCCCATAGAACCCTATCTAATCCCAATTGTAATCTGAGTCAATCCAAATTATACTCAATTATAATCCCGGATAGTGACTAAGTATCATGATAGATACAATAGTCCAGCTGTGGCTATAATCAATTAGATAGTCGTGTATATTCTCCCAAGTGGAAACAAACGATTTTATGAGTGAGTGACACGCATTTTTAACATGTGTATTGCTCTGCAGCTTTCCTCTCAAGTGTGACCCCCTGCCCTTGGTGGCAGGGGTGGGGCCACGATGAGTGGCTGGTTCGAGGTGGACGTGTCGAGGGGGAGTCCACCACGCGTCGACGTCGGAGACATTGTGGAGTTGAAGGTCTACGACGACACAGGGAATGGCCAGGGAACGATCATTGTGGGTGTCCTCGAGGTGTTGGGAACACACCGCAGTGGACCGGTGTTGGCTGGCATGTTCCTGGGGGCCTCAGACATATACTACCACTGGTGGATGAACGAGGGACCAAACGCCCCGGCCAAAGACAAAGGGTTTTACCACTTGTGTACAGAGCCGACCAGCGCCTGTCCAAGTGTGAAGAAATATCCCAATATGATCCACTCAGGCAAGTACCGCAACCTGGGTACGGAGCAGGTGACCAGCAAGAAGGTGACCTGGTTGAAAGACAAGGTCCTCATGGAAGGCTACGTCTTCTGCTACTAGAAGTTCCGAGGTGTTGTGGGCCCCGGTGAGGCACCTGGGCATCGTGGGAAGCCCCCTCCAGGCGAGGCAAAGTTGAAGTGGCCTGGTGATGGTGACCCCTCGCAGTCAGAGGGTGAAGACAAGAGTGACGGCTCTGATGAAAAGGAGTCTGAATCTGATGACCCAGGCGTCAAGGAGAAGATCAAGCAGCTGCGAAGGGAGCTGAAGAAGGCTGAAGAGGACGCTGCCCAAGGGCGGCGCAAGAAGAAGGCTAAAAGGGGCAAGACGAGGGCCAAGCGCAGAGATGTTACCCGAGCAACTGGTTCGGTGAAGGAGAAAAAGGACAAGAAGGAGAAGGCCAAGGGCTTGGACCTCAAGGAAAAAGCAAAGGAGAAGAAGAAGGACAAGGACAGAGGTGAAAAGAAGCCGAAGAAGAAAAGGAGCCCTAGCCGGGAGAGCTCCGCCGGTGAGGGCTGTGAGAGGGCCCGCAAGAAGACCTTTTGGGGGTGGCGAACCGGTGAAGTTTGCAGATGCCGACGATGAATCCTCTGGTTCTGAGTCGGTTTTTCACAAAGGCCTCACTGCGACCGTGAAGAGCAGCCAGCAGCGACTACTGGCGTACACAAGCAGATATCCAGGAAGACTGGCAAGCAGACTACTGTTGAAGATGCAGACTGCGACAGCCAGGGACGCAGTGGGGCCGTCAAGCACCAGAAGCGGTCGCACCCCTCCGGTGGCCATGCACCACATCCTCACGGTGTTGCTGCCGAACCTCGGCGCCAAAGCAGGCCTGAGGTCAGCCAGGGAGTTGAAAACCCTTGGCAGCATCATGGACCAGCTAGCGGCAGGTTCCCCTTCGAAGGCGGCGGACATAGTCTGTCAGCGAATCAAGGCCGTGGAGAGAGCATCGCACGAGGGTCACTGGGGGGCAGCGCAGTTCCTAGAGCTGCTGCCCCCCGAGAACACGATGTTGCTCGGCCGAGACGAAGAGATGTTCGTCACGAAGGAGTACCTGTTGGATCAGAAGCTGAAAAGCTACGATCGACAACCAGCGAGAGGAGAAGGAGGCGGAAAAGGCAAGGCGAAGGGAGCCAAGGGCAAGAGCAAGGAGAAGGGCGACAAAGGAGCCTGGGACAAGACGGACAAGGGCACGAAAAAGCCAGAGAGCAAGTGAAAGAAGAAGTTTTGGAGGATTTACCCCCGGAGTCGGGGAGGCCAAGGCATGATCTTCTTACCTGGGGAAAACCCCTGAGAGACTTTTTGGAGGCTGAACGCAGCCCTGCTGAGTTGATGGATTGGATGCGTGACTTGATGCCGGAGTTGGACTCCCCGCTGGCCGGCTATATGGTTGCCCAGCACGAGTTGGAGTCCGAGCTACCCGCAAAGGAAACTCCGTTGGCCGTGGAGCCGCATCAGCTGCTGCCAGTCAGAGCACAGCTTGTACCAAGGTTTTTCGTTGGGAAGGACGACAAGTTGGTATCTTGGGTCGTTACCATGGTGGAGGTGCTCAACTACCATTCTGGGATGGGGCGCAATCGTTTGGGCCCCCCTGAGCTTACAGCTGCACAGGAGTTGATGTTGACCCGCCTCTATGGGGTGGTGCAGAGATTTGAAGAAAAGGGAGGCAAAGTTGAAACCTTTGCCAAGTGCAGGCAAGAGATTGGTGCCGTGCGGTTCGATTATTCTGGGGAGCCGATCCAGTACATGGAGGAGCTGGAGGCGGAGAAAATTATCCCATGCTGGCCGAGGCCAGGTGAAGCAGGAGTGCAAGATGCTCGGGACTTTGTACCGCCTGAGGTGCAGGCGTGGTTGGATGATCCCGTAATGTCACTCTTGCCGCGGACCGCATGGCCAGACAAACCACCACCCAGTCGGGTGCGAGCCACTGATGAGCAGTGGGAGATGATAGTCAAAGCCGGAGTCGAAAGGGGCATGAGTGAGGGATGCCAAGCATGTGATGGGCTTCCCATGGGTGTCCAATCAAACCAAGATTGACCTTCGGCGCTCCAATTCGATGGCGCTCCGGGGACTCAAGCGCATGCAGGCACTTTCGGCCAGCGCCGCTATGTATCGCTGGAACATCCTATGGGAGCTGGCTGTGGTACTTCAACATTGTCAACGAGCTGACCGAGGGCGAGTTTGACTATGCCTATGGCAGCAATTGTTGTTGGGGGGGAGATCGCGAGAAGTGGTATGCCCTCCTCGCCAACATGCCAGAGGTGCTGCAGGAGCTCCACGTGCCTGAATGCCCTGGGCACGACAATTTGAGGGGGTATGCAGCCCGAGTCGATGAGCAGGGTGTTGTTCGCTACGCCACCGAGGAGGAGGCTGAATATAAGTCTCGGTGGTGCGAGGCGTATGCCAGGGGCCTGAAGCGACAGTTGGCCCCATGGATTACCCGCGGAATTTTGGAAGGGCGGTGTCGAAAGATCCAGGACGAGTTGGGAAAATCCACAGCACGGCTGGCCGACCCAGCGATGGCCAACGCAGTGGCCAATGAACTGGTCGAGCTGGAGCGCAACATGGTGCGGGGATACGAGCCAACTCACCTGAGAGAGATGGCCAGGCGTACCGGCATTCGAGGGTCTGACCTCAGGATTTTCCTGGGTGAGGAGCACATGGAGATCCCGTACCCCGCCTTATACAGGTGGTATTGGAAAGAAGCCCTCAGCTATGCGTGGCGTGAGGAGCGGCACATCAATGAGGGAGAGGTCGCGGCGTTCAACATCATGCTCAAACGCAGGGCGAAAGACCCTGCCAAGCATGAGCTGCGCTAGTTAGCGGTTTTGGATAGTGCAGTTACCAGGGGTGCGGTGAGCAAAGTGGCAGATCGCCATCTCGCCCTCTCAACCGCCTCCTGAGACAGACAGCGGCACTGGCATTGGCATCGGATCAGTATCCTCTCGCGGCCTGGACAATCAGTCGATGGAACTTCGCCGACACTGCGAGTCGGCGCAAAGGCAGGAAAGATGCTTAAACATTTGCGTTTTGCAGGGCTGCAGAAGAGGACTCTCCGTGCCTACCGAAAAGGGCTAGACCGCTTTTTGTTGTTCGCTAAGATTGAAAAACTCCCTCTCAAAACCCAAAAGCAATTAGACTGTGCGGTAGGGGAGTACTTGAACGCCCTCTACCAGGAAGGTGATAGTTTGGCCCAGGGTGGCCACCTGTTGTCAGGGATCAAGAGATTTTTCCCTGGCATGAGGTTGAAGCTCCCTACCGCGACACAGTTCTACAAAAACTGGCAACGAATTCATCAGCCCGAAAGGGCGGTCCCAATTAGCAGGGACTTGATGCTGGCAATGGCCGGCCTTTGCATTACCCAGGAGCTTCACCTGATTCCCCATCGGGATCAGCGACGAACCGCTGCCATTGTCCCCTTTGCCAAGACCCCCAATGGCAATCCACAGGTTGTTACCTGCTCTGACCCACGTGTGTGGTGCCTAGCAGTGGCAGTGCGCGAGGCTTTTGAGCCTACGCAACTTTTGTGGCCATCCACCCCGGGGCAATTTCGTCGTTTTTGGGGTGCTTTATTGGAGGTCCTCGACTTCACTGCCCAAGACTACGTCCCTTACAGCATACGACGGGGTGGTGCCACTTGGTACTTTTTGGAAACGTCCTCCATGGACGCTACCCTGCAACGTGGCAGGTGGAACTGCAATCGTACAGCGAGGCAGTACATCGATCAAGGAACTCTGGCAATGGCCAAATTCCTGTGGACCGCGACACAATGTCGCCGTGTCAAACAATGGGCCCTCAAGGGAGCCACTCAACTCAAGCGTCTTCGCCAGGAAAAAACGCTGGGACATGGGAGGTTGGGTCCGTTTTCTTTTGGTGTGGTTTGTTTCTGTGTTGTATTTTCTTTTTCTCTAGATGGACCCAGCTAACCTTGGATAAATGGGAGGTTTATCGAGCTTCCCATGTGACTAACCTTATTGAGGTTGGGCTACCTTATCGAGGTAGAAATCTACTTACCACCCTTTGAATGGTAAGAACGGAGGAAAAATTGTTCTAGTAGGGATGTACAGCTTATAGGTGTACAGGTTGTCTTCGTTATTGGGGGTTAATGCCTCCCATTTATTAACCACTCGAGTTTCCTCTGTGGAAAATAGAGCTCCTTTCATGTTAATATCCGAAGTGGAAACAAACGATTTTATGAGTGAGTGACACGCATTTTTAACATGTGTATTGCTCTGCAGCTTTCCTCTCACCCTCCACCTTGCCCCATTCACCGCCATCGTTTGTTGCGTGTTTTACTTTGGGGCTTTACCATGGGAGGTTTATCGAGCTTCCCATGTGACTAACCTTATTGAGGTTGGGCTACCTTATCGAGGTAGAAATCTACTTACCACCCTTTGAATGGTAAGAACGGTGGAAAAAATTGTTCTATAGTAGAGATGTGCAGCTTATAGGTGTACAGGTTGTCTTCGTTATTGGGGGTTAATGCCTCCCATTTATTAACCACTCGAGTTTCCTCTGTGGAAAATAGAGCTCCTTTCATGTTAAATATATATCCCCAGTTATTTGTTTTTATCGGAAGTTTACCACAGTCATCCACCAAGGTTGCTCAAGAAGGCTCGCGCTGAGGCTGTGCAGACGATTCCTACGGGCCAGGCGGGCTCAGCGTGAGGGACAGTTTTTGGTTAATGGAGCCCCTAAGAATACCCATGTGATTTACTATCTTGTGGTTAAAGGGAGCTAAGGAGCTAGGGGTATTCATATTCCCAATCAAAAATGGCGTGCCAGTTGGAGCTACGAATTGAGCTCTCAGCCACATGATTGTCTAAAGAGGGGGTTAAACATTGTCTATGGGTTTTTCAACCATCCAAAAGGGGATATAATATGATATAGTTGATAAATGATGGTGGGTTGATGACCATACCCCTATTCACAGGTTATATAGGTTACAAAAAAAATCAACAATATGGGGGTGATTAACCTTGGGATAGCCATTAATTAGCCAACCAGAATACTGTAATGGGATGGGATAGTGGTATTGTTCATGGCTCAATAGGGGGTATGTTTATCGTTAGGGGGTACACAATCCATAACTGGTTTTTCCAATCCATAATATTTTTCTCCAATCCAGAATTAAAATACAATGTCCAAACCTCAATATAAATATATATTCCAATCCACGTTTGAAAAATAAAATCGATCACGACAATCCATCGATGCATTTTGCAGCTGTTCCATGCGTGAGCTGGCTACTGGCAGTGTCCAAAACTGGCAGATACCCCAACCAGAACAGTTTTTATATGTGGTTTCTTACCATCAAAAATTTGTCAGGTCGGATTTTTTCCATTGATAGGTTTATCATGCATTCTGGGCAAAATACAATGGAGAATGCGTAGAGGTTTCGGCAAAATACATACAAAAAAATGCATTCTGGGCAAAACACAATGGAGAAAGCGCAGAGGTTTCGGCAAAATACATACAAAAAAAATGCATTCTGGGCAAAATACAATGGAGAAAGGGTAGAGGTTTCGGCAAAATACATACAAAAAAAATGCATTCTGGGCAAAATGCAATGGAGAAAGGGTAGAGGTTTCGGCAAAATACATACAAAAAAAATGCATTCTTGGCAAAATACAATGGAGAAAGGGTAGAGGTTTCGGCAAAATACAAAAAAATGCATTCTGGGCAAAATACAATGGAGAAAGGGTAGATGTTTCGGCAAAATACAAACAAAAAAAATGCATTCTGGGCAAAATACAATGGAGAAAGGGTAGAGGTTTCGGCAAAATACATACAAAAAAAATGCATTCTTGGCAAACTACAATGGAGAAAGGGTAGAGGTTTCGGCAAAATAAATACAAAAAAAATGCATTCTGGGCAAAATACAATGGAGAAAGCGCAGAGGTTTCGGCAAAATACATACAAAAAAAATGCATTCTGGGCAAAATACAATGGAGAAAGCCTAGAGGTTTCGGCAAAATACATACAAAAAAAATGCATTCTAGGCAAAATACAATGAGAAAGGGTAGAGGTTTCGGCAAAATACATACAAAAAAAATACATTCTGGGCAAAATACAATGGAGAAAGGGTAGAGGTTTCGGCAAAATACATACCAAAAAAAAGCATTCTGGGCAAAATACAATGGAGAAAGGGTAGAGGTTTCGGCAAAATACATACAAAAAAATGCATTCTGGGCAAAATGCAATGGAGAAAGGGTAAGGGTTTCGGCAAAATACATACAAAAAAAATGCATTCTGGGCAAAATACAATGGAGAAAGGGTAGAGGTTTCGGCAAAATACATACAAAAAAAATGCATTCTGGGCAAAATACAATGGAGAAAGCGTAGAGGTTTCGGCAAAATACATACAAAAAAAATGCATTCTGGGCAAAATACAATGGAGAAAGCGTAGAGGTTTCGGCAAAATACATACAAAAAAAATGCATTCTGGGCAAAATACAATGGAGAAAGCCTAGAGGTTTCGGCAAAATACATACAAAAAAAGGCATTCTGGGCAAAATACAATGGAGAAAGCGTAGAGGTTTCGGCAAAATACATACCAAAAAATGCATTCTGGGCAAAATACAATGGAGAAAGCGTAGAGGTTTCGGCAAAATACATACAAAAAAATGCATTCTGGGCAAAATACAATGGAGAAAGCGCAGAGGTTTCGGCAAAATACATACAAAAAAAATGCATTCTGGGCAAAATACAATGGAGAAAGCGTAGAGGTTTCGGCAAAATACATACAAAAAAAATGCATTCTGGGCAAAATACAATGGAGAAAGGGTAGAGGTTTCGGCAAAATACATACAAAAAAAATGCATTCTGGGCAAAATACAATGGAGAAAGGGTAGAGGTTTCGGCAAAATACATACAAAAAAAATGCATTCTTGGCAAAATACAATGGAGAAAGCCTAGAGGTTTCGGCAAAATACATACCAAAAAAATGCATTCTGGGCAAAATACAATGAGAAAGGGTAGAGGTTTCGGCAAAATACATACAAAAAAAATACATTCTGGGCAAAATACAATGGAGAAAGGGTAGAGGTTTCGGCAAAATACATACACAAAAAATGCATTCTGGGCAAAATACAATGGAGAAAGGGCAGAGGTTTCGGCAAAATACATACAAAAAAATGCATTCTGGGCAAAATACAATGGAGAAAGGGTAAGGGTTTCGGCAAAATACAGACCAAAAAAATGCATTCTGGGCAAAATACAATGGAGAAAGGGTAGAGGTTTCGGCAAAATACATACAAAAAAAATGCATTCTGGGCAAAATGCAATGGAGAAAGCGTAGAGGTTTCGGCAAAATACATACCAAAAAAATGCATTCTGGGCAAAATACAATGGAGAAAGCGTAGAGGTTTCGGCAAAATACATACCAAAAAAATGCATTCTGGGCAAAATACAATGGAGAAAGCCTAGAGGTTTCGGCAAAATACATACAAAAAAAGGCATTCTGGGCAAAATGCAATAGGTTTCGGCAAAATACATACAAAAAAATGCATTCTGGGCAAAATACAATGGAGAAAGCGTAGAGGTTTCGGCAAAATACATACAAAAAATGCATTCTGGGCAAAATACAATGGAGAAAGCGTAGTGGTTTCGGCAAAATACATACAAAAAAATGCATTCTGGGCAAAATACAATGGAGAAAGCGTAGAGGTTCCGGCAAAATACATACAAAAAAAATGCATTCTGGGCAAAATACAATGAAGAAAGGGTAGAGGTTTCGGCAAAATACATACAAAAAAAATGCATTCTGGGCAAAATACAATGGAGAAAGGGTAGAGGTTTCGGCAAAATACATACAAAAAAAATGCATTCTGGGCAAAATACAATGGAGAAAGGGTAGAGGTTTCGGCAAAATACATACAAAAAAAATGCATTCTGGGCAAAATACAATGAAGAAAGGGTAGAGGTTTCGGCAAAATACATACCAAAAAAATGCATTCTGGGCAAAATACAATGGAGAAAGCGCAGAGGTTTCGGCAAAATACATACCAAAAAAATGCATTCTGGGCAAAATACAATGGAGAAAGGGCAGAGGTTTCGGCAAAATACACACAAAAAAAAAGCATTCTGGGCAAAATACAATGGAGAATGCGTAGAGGTTTCGGCAAAATACATACAAAAAAAAAGCATTCTGGGCAAGATACAATGGAGAAAGAGTAGAGGTTTCGGCAAAATACATACAAAAAAAATGCATTCTGGGCAAGATACAATGGAGAAAGGGTAGAGGTTTCGGCAAAATACATACAAAAAAATGCATTCTGGACAAAATACAATGGAGAAAGGGTAGAGGTTTCGGCAAAATACATACAAAAAAAATGCATTCTGGGCAAAATACAATGGAGAAAGCGTAGAGGTTTCGGCAAAATACATACAAAAAAATGCATTCTGGGCAAAATACAATGGAGAAAGGGTAGCGGTTTCGGCAAAATACATACAAAAAAAATGCATTCTGGGCAAAATACAATGGAGAAAGCGCAGAGGTTTCGGCAAAATACATACAAAAAAATGCATTCTGGGCAAAATACAATGGAGAAAGGGTAGAGGTTTCGGCAAAATACATACAAAAAAAAATGTTGGGCAAAATACAACAATGGAGAAAGCGTAGAGGTTTCGGCAAAATACATACAAAAAAATGCATTCTGGGCAAAATACAATGGAGAAAGGGTAGAGGTTTCGGCAAAAAATGCATACAAAAAAAATGCATTCTGGGCAAAATACAATGGAGAAAGGGTAGAGGTTTCGGCAAAAAATACATACAAAAAAATGCATTCTGGGCAAAATACAATGGAGAAAGGGTAGAGGTTTCGGCAAAATACATACCAAAAAAATGCATTCTGGGCAAAATACAATGGAGAAAGGGTAGAGGTTTCGGCAAAATACATACCAAAAAAATGCATTCTGGGCAAAATACAATGGAGAAAGCGTAGAGGTTTCGGCAAAATACATACCAAAAAAATGCATTCTGGGCAAAATACAATGGAGAAAGGGTAGAGGTTTCGGCAAAATACATACAAAAAAAAAGCATTTAACCTGCCGACTCTCCTCAGAAAATTTCCCCCTCTTTCGACACCCTCTGGAGGCAAAATAAAATTACATGGAGAAAGCGTAGCGGGTTTCGGCAAAATACATACCAAAAATGCATTCTGGGAAAAAAACATACAATGAGAAAAGGGTTAGAGGTTTCGTAGAGGTTTTCGGCACAATTTCGGCAAAAATACATTACAAAAAAAAAGCCTCTGGGCAAAAATACAATGGAGAAAGGGTGAGAAGGGGTGGTCTAGAGGTTTCCGGCAAAAGTACATACCAAAAAAAAATGCATTCTGGGCAACTACAATGGAGAAAAGGGTAGAGGTTTCGGCAAATACCTACCAAAAAAAAATGCATTCTGGGCAAAATACAATGGAGAAAGCGTAGAGGTTTCGGCAAAATACATACCAAAAAAATGCATTCTGGGCAAAATACAATGGAGAAAGGGTAGAGGTTTCGGCAAAATACATACAAAAAAAATGCATTCTGGGCAAAATACAATGGAGAAAGCGCAGAGGTTTCGGCAAAATACATACAAAAAAAATGCATTCTGGGCAAAATACAGCGGAGAAAGGGCAGAGGTTTCGGCAAAATACATACAAAAAAAAGGCATTCTGGGCAAA